ATCACTCCTGGTGCTGCTTGGGGTACCAGACGGGAGGCAGGGGGTTGAACCCAGGTCAGCTACATGCAAGGCAAGCGCCCTATCCACTGTACTATTGCTCTCTCCCTACTGAGATTTAATTGTGAATACTATCCACCTATTTTGATGGATTTCTCTTTACAACAACCCTGCAAGGTGAGCACTATTATTTTTTTAATTAAGGGAAACAGTGTTTATTTTTATTTATTAATTTTTTGTTTGGTTGTTTTTTGGTCACACCCCACAGTGCTCTGGGCTTACTCCTGACTCGGCACTCAGTGATCACTCCTGGCGGTGCCCACATGTCCCTATGGGGTGCCTAGGAGCGAACCTGGGTTGGCCACATGCAAGGCAAGCAATGGACCCGTTTCACCGCAAGGTGATCACTGTTACCTCTCTTTTGAGAGAGGGATACTGAGGCACGGAGAATGCTGAGGTCACATATTGCTAACGTGGAAGGGAACTCAGGGTTTGATGCTAGTCTTAGCTCTTACTTGGCCTATCAACCATTCTTTTCCATGAATACAAGGGCCTCATATAAGTGACTATGGTTCTAGATGATGGTTTGGGGCTTTGGGGAGGAAGGGTAGAAAGAGGGAGGGAGGTGGGTGGTGCAAAATTCCCTTCCACATCCCCCTGGGTTCTACCTGCTGGTCCCCTCTCTTCCTGTTACCATTTACTGATGTCACATTCTTTCTTTATCCTCCCTCCCGTCAAAATACTAGAGAATCTAAGTCACACTGCCCCAGAGATAAATAGCATGGGCATAGCTGGCTGAAGGGGGCACTTGGGGAGAAGAGTTATGGAGATGGAAGGTCAGGCCACCCCAAGATGTCCAGCCAGGTCCCCCCAAGATGGGTGACATCGGCATGTGGGTATTTTGAACCAAAGTCAATTTTGGCCCTGCAGACCCGAGAGAAAAGTTTACCACTCCCTTTTATTTATTTGTTGGTTCAGGGGCCACATCTGGCAGCGCCCAAGGCTTACTTCTGGCTCTGTGCCACGGGATCCTATGGTATTCAGGGGACCACCTGTGGTATCAGGAACCAACCCTAAGTCTGCTGAGTGCAGGGCAAGAGCCTTACCCGTTGTTCTAGCTGCTCCATTTCCTGCCTGCCTTCCCACTCACCTCCTTCTCAATCTGCTTTTGCCCTTTCTCTAATAGAAGTGTAGGAACTGAAACCCAGTGTGCCTCTCTCCAGATCCCACTCTTCTGGACACACCCTCTTCTAGCTCCCAGGGATGCTAAAGATGAAGCTCTCTTCACCCTCTGGTTCAGACTACAAGGATCTCACTCAGTCTGCCCAGTATTTCACCATTGGTTGTTCAGAGAAACAGCTATAGCAGAGGAGAGACAAATACACAGAGAAATTAGAAAAGGTCTAGATCGGGGGCCGGAGTGATAGAACAGTGGGTAGGGCATTTGCCTTGCACATGGCTGACCCGGGTTCGACCCCCGGCATCCTATGTGGTCCCCAAGCACTGCCAGGAGTAATTCCTGAGTGCAGAGCCAGGAGTAACCCCTGAGCACTGCCGGGTGTGAACCAAAAAAAAAAAACAAAACAGAAAAGGTCTAGAGCAAAAAGAGATCCTAGAGACAGCATAGCAGGTAGATGCTTGCCTTGCATGTGGTCAATCTGGGTTTGATCCCCAGCACCACGTATAGTCTCCCCAATACCATCAGGAGGCACTGAGCCAGGATAAGCCCTGAGCACTGCTGGATGTTCCCTACCCCCCCACCAAAAAAAAAAAAAAAGAACAGAGTGAAGAATGAAGATAGAAATAGAAAGAAAAACAGAAATAGAGATAGGGGTAGGGGAACGGGGTGGGGGGGTGAGAAACTAAGAAAGAGAGCCAAGAAAAAAAGACAAGGGAGATAGACCCCCCAGAACTAACGGGTAGAACCAGAGAGAGCGGAAGTGGGGTCTGTGGTTGGGGCCCCGTGTCCTCTGCTGCTCAGTCCTAACCCTCTGATCCACATGGTCTCACCTTGCAATTCAGGAGTGTGAATGGGGAAAGTAAATGACATAAGGGGCCTAGAAGATAGCTCAGTGGTCAGGAGCACAAGGTTTGCATGTGCCATGACCTACTTTAAACCCACATGGTCAAACCCCAGCACCACATGGTCCCCTGAGCACCACCAGGTACAACCCTGGGACCCCACACCTCCAGTACTCTGTGAGTGGTACTGCACCATAAGGCCTAAGTAGCTTTTTTTTTTTTTGCTTTGCTATTTGGGTCACACCCAGTGCTGCACAGGGGTTACTCCTGACTCATGCACTCAGGAATTACTCCTGGCGGTGCTCAGGGGACCATATGAGATGCTGGGAATTGAACCCGGGTCGGCTGTATGCAAGGCAAACGCCCTCCCCACTGTGCTATAATTCCAGCCCAAGGCCCAAGTAACTCCATCTCCTTAAGCCCTGGCCCCCTGAGACTCCCCCGAGTAATAATAATAATAGTAATAATAATAATAATATTCTTTTCTCTAGTCTATAGGTGAAATTTAGCCTTTCCTTCATTTATGACAGTAGCGGCAAACCAGTCATATAACTCATAATTAAAGGAATTGTCACCAGTACATAGCATATAAATGTTCACATCCTATTACAGCTGTGAAGATATTTGGAAATATTATTTATGTTCATCACTGTTTTAAAATTATGTGAGGTAGAAACCTCCTGCTAGATTTTGTTTAAAGCACTAATAAAGGAGCTCATATATATATTACTACATCACATTAAAAGTTTCATAACTATATTGTAATATAATTGGTTTCCTTTGTAATCCAATATATTTTATTTTATGCATTTTTAAAACATCATCTGGAGACCAGGTCCCTGGGCTTTTGCAGACCTGCTAAAAGGGAGCGTGACATAACAAAGATTCAGAACTCCCAGAGTGTGTGGCCTCTCACCAGCCTGGAGCTCCTCCCCACTCCCGTGCCCTGTACTCCCTTCCCCAGTCCCATGCTCTCCTGTATTGCTCTCCTCCAAGGAGCCACTAAGACAGGCTGAACTGTGCAAGGACCTGTTTGAGGGAAAGGCCTGGGATGGATGGGAAGCAAGGCTAGGAGAGCCGCCAAACCCAGAGCAAGGAAGGGCGTCTGGAATGAAGCATCCTAGTTCAGGAGATCATTCTTTTTCTTCCACCTCTTTTGGCCCAAGAAATGCGACATGGAGGGTAAAACCAGAAGCACCCCAGATTCATAGCAGAATTGATATCTAGTTACCTTTTGGTCATTGTGCCTTCATAAATCTTTTACTGCTGCCATTTTTTGAGGGGTTGGGGCATACACCCAGACATGCTCAGGCTTATTCCTGGCTCTGTGCTCAGGATTGATCCCTGAGGGTGTTCATGGGACCAAATGTGGTGTCCGGGATTTGAACCTGGGTCATGTAGGTATAGCCTGGCTGCATCCAAGGAGTGCCTTTCCTCCTGTTCTGTCTCTCTAGCCCAGCTGCCAATGCTTTTTTGGACACCCGCACACGTAGCCACACAGCTGGGAAGCTCTAGAGTACGGTGCAGCAGAAGGCAAGTTCAGTAAGATCCTGGGGTCAGTTTTTTGAGATCATGCCCAAAGGGGGACCCTTTTTTTTTGAGGGGGGAGTGGGCTTACCTTAGGAGCTGATGAAATTCAGAGAAAAGCAACGGGGGCCTATGGTTAATTTTATTTCTAGTTGGAGGTCTATCAGGGCCTTTCTGCTGACCTAGCTGGAAATAAATGCCTCCCTGTCTGTAATGTGGAGGAGATCCAAGGTTCTGTCTCACAGAGCCGCGGCAAGGGTTAAACAGAGTTTGTAAAGGGCCTGGATCTGGTCAGTGTCAGTCCTGAGCCTGAGTGGCAGAACAGTCCTCTCTGAATGACTATCATTCCTTTCTCCAGCAGGGTTCCAGGCAGCTGCGGAGCACAGAGCCAGCAAAGCCAGCATGTCACAGCTGGGGCAACTGCAGAAGTGGGAACCTCTTCCCCACCATCCCCTCACCTTCCCCAGAGGCTGGGGTCTACCCTGAGCTACTGACGGTTCCTGAGTCTGCTGACTCACAGCCAACTTCCTCTGGTACAAACAGGAAAGCACAGCCTGCCGGGCCAGCAGGCGCCCCCCCTCCTGCCCCCCCCCCCCAACACCTCACAGCTAAACCCCAGCCTTCCCCAAGGGGGAAGTGCTTGGGCCTGAGAGCACTTGGTGGCCGGGGTTCACTGTATGCTGGGGAGTGGGGGAGTCATTTCTTTCTCACCGCTTACCCCCCCCCCCCTGCTCCCCACCCATCACCCCTCTGCAAAGAAAAAGGGAGGGGGAAGCAAAAACAAAAAGGAGGAGAATGAGTGAGGATCCCCCCCAAAGATGAAAGAGGGTCTTGATGGATGGGACCCTGAACTTGCAGCGCATCGGTTTCGTCCTCAAAAAGGCAGCCTGGAACCCTGATTTGGGAGAAGCGATGTCGCCTGGCGCACCTTCACTGCAGACAGAGAAAGCTAGGTCAGCCCGTAGGGTGGGGAGTCACCCTCCACGGGGCCTCTGCTCACCCCCATGTCAGGCCCTTAGCGCTCCCAGGGGATGGGGGACGCCTGGGGTCAGTCCCCTGCTGGGCTGGGCCAAGCGCTTGGTGGGCTTCACACCCGAGCTTTCCGTGGGACGAGGAGGGCGCAACCGAGGGCTGCAGAGGCGTCCTGGGCAGCGGCCCTGGGTCCCCCTGTCTGACCCGCGTCCTTTTTCTCCCCCCACACCCAAACCGTTGCAGACTTGGCATCTGAGCGCCTCTTTCTGCGGTGATCTCAGCCCACGGTCCCGCTGGGTCTAGCTTGGGTCCCCGCGAGGGCAGCGTGGGTCAAGACCTGAGATAAGGTCGGGATTGGGTAAGGCGCCTTTCGAAGGCCGGCGCTTGCACAAGGAGGGGTCGGCGGCCGAGGGGGAACGGGCGGCGGCGGCAGGGCGGGGCCGGCCGTCGGGGGACGGCGCAGGGGGCGGGGAGGCGCCCGCGGCCCCGAGCTCGGACAGCGCGGCGGTCCCGCGCAGCGGACGCGGCAGCGTGGCGAGGTGAGGACCCCCGCGCCCCCGCGCCCCAGACTCCTCCCCGTTCCCTCCTCGAGGCTTTTGTGGGTTCCCGGGCCCCGGGCCGTGCCTGCCCGCGACACTGCGCCCTCCCCGCGCGCCGCGCTCCCACGGCTGTCCCGTGCGCCCCGACCTGACTCACCCGACCACTAGGTTTTGAGTCAGGGTGGGAGGCGCGACACCCGGGTCTGGGGCTTGGGGCCCAGCGGAAGAGAGGCCAGACGGCTCGTGGTCAGGAGCCCCGGGGAGAGAAAGCGACCCTGGCAGAGCGGTGGGGGGTCACGGCAAGGCGGGCTTGAGACACAGACGCACCGAAGATGGATGAGTTTGGAGACCCAGGCGCAGAGGCTTCGTCAGGGAGCGCATAGAGAGGCGTTTAGAGGCAGAGGTGGGGATGCAGGGGAGACAGGGCAGAGAGACCTCAGAGGAAGCAGAAGGGGGGGAGGCGGGGAGGGAGGGTCACCCTGAGGGCTGGGGCTGGACCTCAGAACTTAGCCCATGGAGAGGGGCAGGGGGAGTGTCTCCCGACGAGGCGGAGCCCTTTCCTGCGTGTGCTGCAGGAGGACCCTGGAGACCACCCGTCCTGGCACAGTTCTTTCTATCCCAGCCCTGCCTAGGACCCCGCATGCTAGAACTGGTCAGGGCGCTGGGCAGCCTGACCAGGGCAGGCAGGATGTGGGGGCGGTGGGGCTGGAGGACAGGAAGGAAGTCTGAGCAGAGACAATAGGTGGAAGGGGAGGAGGAACAGGGAATGGTCAGGATCAGGCTGCGAAGCCTGGACCTCTAACTCTGGGAAGCCGTGGGAGCAGGGTCGCACCTCCTTCCTCATCCTCCGAAGGCCTCCAACCCCCTTACAACTGTAGCGGGTGCGGCCACCCAGGAGACCCCGGGAGGGGGGAGGGAGAGGTCTGGCATGAGGCCCCAGCTTCACTCCAGTAACGGCAGAGGGGGTGCTCTGACCCGGACCCAGGATAGGCAGAAACTTGTCCCCACCTTGACGAGACTGCAAGTCTCATCTCCTCTCTGGGTCTCAGTTTCCTCATCTATCTCTCTCCTGTCATGGGAAAAAAAAAACCCCTTTGTTCTGTTCTGGGGTAGCTCCGCCTTCCCAGGGAGAGGGAGGGGTCTCTTGAACAGGAGACTGGGATGTGGGACACCCCCCACGCCCCCGCCCCTGGCAGGCATCCTACTCTGAGAGGGGGCGGAGGGGGGGAATCTCAGCCTGAGCCCTCCCTCCCCCGCCCCTCCCCCCAGCAATGGCCTGAGCCCCCATGGCTGCCCCTCAGGACCTGGACATCGCCGTGTGGCTGGCCACAGTGCACCTGGAGCAGTATGCGGACGCGTTCCGGAGGCACGGCCTGGTTACTGCGGCAGCGGCCCGGGGCCTGGGCCACGACCAGCTGAGGCAGTTGGGCATCAGTGCCACCGGGCACCGGAAACGCATTCTGCGCCTGCTGCAGGCCAGCACTGCTGAGAGCTCGCCAGACCCACAGTCGGACAGTGCCATGGAGCCATCTCCCAGCTCAGATTCCCAAGCCCAGCCTGCCAGGCCGGTGCCCAAGCCCAGGACAGTGTTCGCGGGGCTTAGTGGCCCTGCCACCACCCCGAGGCCTGGGTGGAGCCCGGCCTTCTGGAGACCAGAAGCCTCCAGGAGCCCCGACTGCGGCCCTGGATCCCCACCCTGCCCCAATGCCGCTGAACCCCCTTCATCCTCAAGCACCATGGAAATGATGCCCAATGCCATCTATTTTGGCCTGGACCTCCGAGGGAGGCCCCAGGCAGCTCAGGACAGGTGAGTAGGAGCCTCCCCAGGGCTGATGCTGAGGGGGATGGAAGTGGAGGAGGCCAGGAGGGAGGATTGGTCCTTCTCTGTCTCCCTTAGTGACAGACCTGTCCCCACAGTGCCCCAGACACCGCCCAGACAGCTGCCCCCAGCCCAACTCTCAGGCCCACTGTGGGCACAGGTACGTGGGTCATCATCAGGGACAGAGGGATGGTGGCTTTGGGACCTCGCACACACTTGATTGCCCTTTGCTATCTTTCCCATTCCTCACCCCGCCAGTGCACATCATGGACCCTGGTTGCCTGTACTATGGTGTCCAGCCTGTGGGGGTCCCAGGTACCCCTGACAGAAGAGAGGGAAGAGGTCTCTGCCAAGACCGGACTGAACACAGGTGAGTACTCAGCTGGGAGAGGTTCCGGAGAAGCAGTGGGTATTGCTTTTTGTTTTGGTTGGGGACCACACCCAGCTAATGCTCAGGGGTTCCTCCTGGCTCTGCACTCGGGAATTATTCCTGGTGGTGCTCAGGGGTCCATATGGGATGCTGGGGATGGAACCTGGGTTGGCCACCTGCAAGGCAAACACCCTCCCTGCTGTCCTATCACTCTGGCCCCCAACAGTGGGTGTTGTCACTCATCAGATGTGCCTGAGGGTTACTGAGTGGTGACCAAAGGTGCCGCAGAGGTGCAGGAGGAATGAGTATACAGACACACCTCCACTCTTAACTTGTGACTAGAGCCGCAGGCAGGAAATAAAACAAGAGACAAACAAATGGATGCATGATTAAAAATGGCAAGAAATGCTTTTCAGTCTTTCATTAAACCTTTTTTTTTCTTAAGCTTGTATTACATGTCGAATATTGTTGTAACTACGTGGGAGCAATCAGAAATCCCCACAGTGGGGAGAGAGTCAATGAACGATATTATAATATGTAAATAAGTAGTGTCGTGTGTTAAAAGATGCTAAGTGTCATGGGGATAAACTAGGGCAGAGTGAGAAGGCTGGGATGAAGTGAGTGGTGAATAGATGGTGATTATTCATAAAGAGTTGCCAGAGCATTAAAAAGATGATCTTTGAGGGGCCAGAGAGAGGGATCACGCGGCAGGAGTGCATGCTCTGCACGCAAGACTCTGGGGTCAGTACCTGGTGCTGTAAGGTCTCCAGGCTCCTCTGGGAGAAGCCCCAGCGCCTGAGTACCACCAGGTATGACCCAAGTCCCCTCTTCCCACAACTCAATAAATATCAGATAGTATTTGATGCTATGGAGATAGCTCAAAGGCTGGAGCCCCCACCTTGCATGTTTGAGGCTCTTAGTTTGATCCCGGGACCACATGGCCCTCTGCCCCCTCCAGTTCTGTTGGTCCCCAGTGCACTGTTATCCCCTCAGCACTGGCCTGGAAATTGCTGGAGATCCCTGCTGGGGACCTCCCCCTCCTGCCCTGACAAAACCACAAAACCGAAAAGGGTGAGAGAGTTAGCCATGACATGGGGGAATAAAGTTCTGGGCTGGGGGATTGAGCTGAGTGGCGGCGTCTGTGAGAGTGTTGCTGCAGAGAGAGGGGTTTCAGCTGCAGCAGGAGGCCTGTGAGACTGGAGGGGAGCACGCTGGGAGGATTGGGGGGAGACTAATCAGGAGAAAGGGGGTCAGGTAGGCTCCAACCTTGGTGGGACTTTGCTGTTCCTCTAAGTGATATAAAAAGCCGTGGGATGCTTGAGTTCTGTTTTGGTAAAGCCTCTGGTTGATGTGTTTTTGTTTTGGGGCCACACCCGGCGATGCACCGGGCTCACTGCTGGCGGTGCTCAGGGGACCATATGGGATGCCAGGGATTGAACCCGGGTAGGCTATGTGCAAGGCAGTTGCCCTACCTGCTGTACTGTCTCTCTGGTCCCTCTGCTGTCTTGAGAACAGTCTGGAAGGGCAAAATGGACACCAATTAAGTAACTACAGGAATCCAGGTGGGAGATGAAGTCACGTGAGGGTCACGGAGATGGCCAGAAGTGGTTGGGTTTTGTTTGCATTTTGAAGCCAAGCCATCCTTGTCAGTTGGGGTGTGGAGCCAAGAGTGGTCAAAAATGACTAGTTGGGGGGGTGGAGAGAATGACTTGGAAGGTTGATACCCAAGCTGCAGCGGCCAGTGGCTGGTCGGAAGTGGGTGTAAATGTACCCCAACCCCAGGTTTCAAATACTTAGTGTGCCTCATGGATGACTGCAGATCAGACAAGTGGAAATAATCAGAAATATTTTCCAAGTCCATCTTAAAATATCACTATTTGGAGGCTATATGTCTTATTAAATAAAATGTCATAATAAAATTTGTGTCACCTATTTCTTTGATTACGTTCTAAATCTGGCTAATTTTGTAGATAATAGATAGGACTTTCATGCTGACCTGTGGCCAGCATTGTTTTGACTGACCGGAAGTTCCTAGAGTGCCCACTTGGCAATTGGGCTGTGAGAGTGGGGGTGACCGTGTCTGGAGAAGTCAGCCAGGAGTTGAGTTTGCTGCAGAGTGAATGTACCCAGGAAGAAATGACCAAGGGGTCCTTTCCACATTCACGCTTTGTGGGAAGGGTCTGCTCTAGAGGTGAGCTGTTGGTCTGTGAAGGGGTGTATGTAGCTGAAGGTGGATGTCGACAGAGAAGACCAAGCCCTGGGCCTGGCACACTGCAGAGACCCAGGGTTCTGGAGAAGAGAAAGAATTGTCAAAACAAATGGGAAGAAAGGGCTGGTGAAGGAGAAGAGAAGCTGGGAGAGGGTGGTTCTCGGGGCCAGACTGAACCTGAAAACGTTTGCGGATGGGGCAAGTGAATGGTGCAAGGTGCTGCTGAGAGCACCCTCAGATTAGTGCTGCAGATTGATTCTGGAATAGGGAACACGGACCTCAGGTCCTGGACAGATGGGGTGGGGAGAGAATGGATAGAGAGGAAGTGGAAGGACTGGGGATTTTCCTGCAAAGAAGAGCCGAGAGCTGAACTGTTAATTGATAGTGGAAATGGAGTCAAGAAAGAGTTTTTATTGACTTATTTGTGTATTTGTATATTTATTGGTTTGGAGGGGGGTCCACACCTGGTGGTACTCAGGGCTTGCTTCTGGCTCTATACTCAGGGGTCACTCCTGGCAGTGGTTGGGGACTGGATATGGTGCCGGGGATCCAGCCAGGGCTGGCTGCATCTCAGGCAAGTGTCTAAACCATGTACTATTTCTCTGGTTCCCTAGAGAGGGTTTTTACAAGGTGGAATGTCGTGTGTCCGTAGATCTAACTGAAAGAGAGGGTAAATTGCTGATACAGGGAAGAGAGAGGTGGTCCGCGGGTGTAGGCACACGCCCGGTGATAGGAGGACTGACCTTAGAGAGGGTCTTCGTCGCCATAACTGGAAGAAGGATGGGTCTGTGTGAGTTTGAGCAGCTGAGCTGCTCGGAATCTGGAGCAGAGAGTGTGGGGGAGGATTGGGGGGTGATTCTTGTCTGATTGCTTCGGTTTCTCCATGAATTAGGAAAACAAAGTCAGTGGAACGGGTCTAGGGCCTTTTGTCTAGTTTGGAGCCACACTGGGCAATGTTTAGTAGCTACTTCTACCTTAGTGCTCAGGGGTTGGTTGCTCGTGGCAGTGCTCAGAGGACCATGTGGTCAAGGCCTCCTAAATGCAGAGCACACACGCAGCCCTTTGAATGTTCTCTCTGGCTCCACTCCTGGGAACTTTGAAACCTGAAGGTCTCTGGGCCCCATGCCCAGAGGCTCAGATCTGTGTGCCGGGGGGAGGGGGGGAGATTTGGGCCCCACTTGCTAGTGCTCAGGGAAACTGCATGGTACTGGGGATCAAGCCCAGCCCTGCTTCATGCAAAATATGCAGTCTAATGCTTTGAATGATCGCCCCAGACCCACATCCATATGTAGTTTTTCTGGGGGGGACACTGAGCAGTATTTGGGGCCTACTGTATTCAGGCTCTGTATTCAGGGGTTGTTCCCTTTGGTTCCCAGGGGACCATGTGGTGCCGGAGCTTGAACCCACGCTTTCTGCATGCCAAGCAGGCGCTCAGCCCCTGAGCTCTTTCTTCTGGCCTGCAAACTCATATATTTTTTAGTGTCCCAAGTGATTCAGTGCTGCAGAAGTTAAGAACACAGGAGGATTACAGAGGAAAAATAAAGCCTTTCCGGGAAGATGGCATAAGATAGACTGGGGCCAGAGAGAGAGTACAGCAAGGGTTTGATTCCCAGCATGACCTGAGGTCCCCAGAGCCTACTAGGAGTGAGAGTCCAACAGGAGCAGGGTCTGAAAGAGGGAGAGGATGTGAGTGGACTGCAACAGCAAGGGTGATATGTATATAGGATGGGGCCAGGGGAGTAGCCTGGGGTCTGTTTGTACTTGGGCCCGCTGGTAAGGAATCTGGTTGTATCTGAGGTGTAAATGGGATGTTACCGCACAGTTGGCAGGATTCTGTGTGTGTGTGTGTGTGTGTGTGTGTGTGTGAGAGAGAGAGAGAGAGAGAGAGAGAGAGAGAGAGAATGAGAGAGAGAGAGAGAGAGAGAGAGAGTGTGTGTGTGTGTGTGTGTGTGTGTGTGTGTGTGTGAGAGTGTGTGACTCCTGGCATTGCTGGGGTGCAAGGCAGGGCCTCACTCATGCAAGACCATCTGGGAGAAAGAAGCAATAATACTCATTAGGTGCAGACAAGCAAAGTGGGAAACCAGCCACGATCCCTTCCCTAAGTCCTAGAGGTGACAGAGGGAAGGGACAGACACCTCCCCGATAAAGCATCAGCGGGGCAGCATCCTGTCCTCCCTTTGGGCTCTGCCTTCCTTTTCCTGAGCCGAGCACCCTTCGGGCACCTGCGAAGTGCTGTGAGCCGGGTGTCTGGGCAGCTGGCTCTAAGACTCTAATGTACATCCCTCTCTGTCTTGATCCTCCCCAGGCTCAGTCGGCAAGACCGGGAGGATGCTGGCTATGCCAGTCTAGAGCTTCCTGCGGAAGCCACCCTCTCGCTGCCCAGCCTGGACACAGAGGAGACCAGCGATGACCTCATCTCCCCCTATGCCAGCTTCTCCTCCACGGCTGACCGCCCCATGCCCCTGCTCAGTGGCTGGCTGGACAAGCTCTCCCCTCAAGGGTGAGCAGGGCTGGGGAAGTGAGGCGGTGAGGTGAGAGGTTCCAAGGGTTCCCTCTGTGCCCCCTGGGTCTCAGCCACCACCAGCTCCCTGACCTGCATTTCCCTCCCTGCTCAGAAACTACGTTTTCCAGAGGCGCTTCGTGCAGTTCAATGGCCGGAGCCTGATGTACTATGGCAGTGACAAGGTGGGTCCCAGGAGGTGCTGCGGGGGGTGCGCAGAGAGGGAGGGTCGGGCGTATGGTCCCTGCATGGCTGATGTCAGCCTCTGACGTGGCCTGGTTAGCAGCTGTCCCCGCTGCTTGTGGATTGAGTGCTAATTCCCTAGAAGCTGGTGCAGGGCCTGGGGTCAGCACGCATGACTGAGTTCCTGTCCCATTCCCCCCCTCCCAATCCTCCATCTCCGGGCTGCCGCCCCAGGACCCCTTTCCCAAGGGCGTGATCCCGCTGACCGCCATTGAGATGACCCGCAGCAGCAAGGACAACAAGTTTCAGGTCATCACTGGCCAGAGGGTGTTCGTGTTCCGCACAGAGAGCGAGGGTGAGGCCCGGGGGGCCGGCCCAGGCGGGAGCAGGGGGGCAGCGTGAGTGCCCCCGCCTGCCCACCACCTCCCTGTGCCCTTCCTCCAGCTCAGCGGGATGTGTGGTGCACCACCCTGCAGTCCTGCCTGCGTGAGCAGCGCCTCCTGGGCCCCCCGCGTGCCCCCCAGACGCCCCGCCCGCTCCGGACTGGCCCGCTGGAACTGCGGGGACATAAGGCCAAGGTGTTCGCTGCCCTGAGCCCCGGGGAGCTGGCCTTGTACAAGAGCGAGCAGGTGAGGAGGCCAGTGGGGCGTGGGGGCTGGCCTGCCCTGTTCGGGCCCCTCACTCTGCCCCCATCCCCCGCCAGGCCGCCTCGCTGGGCATTGGGATCTGCTTCATTGAGCTGCAGGGCTGCAGCGTCCGGGAGACCAAGAGTCGAAGCTTTGACCTGCTCACGCCTCTCCGCTGCTTCAGGTGCGGCCCAGGCAGGAGCAGGCCTGGGGGAGACGGTTTGGTCGGGTTTGGGTTTGGGAACCACCCCGGAAGTGCTCAGGAGCTACTCCGGAAATACTCAGGGGACCATTTGGGGTGCTAAGGCTCAAACCCTGGTTGGCCCTGTGCAAGGCAAGCGCTGTACCCACCATCCTCTCACTCTGGTCCTTGTTTTGTTTGTTTGTTTGTTTTTATTTTGGGGCCAAACCCAGAGATGTTCAGGACTTACTCCTGGCTCTGTGCTCAGGAGTCACTCCTGACAGTGCTCAGGGACCATAAGACAGAGGGATCCACCATAGGTTGACCATGTGCATGACCCGCTATGCTAACCCTCCGACCCTTATTTTTATTTGGAAGCCACACCTGGCAGTGCTTGGGACCTACCCCTGGCCTTGCACTTGGGGGTGACTCCCAGCAGTATAGAGGGGACCATGTGGTGCTGCAGAGTGAACCCAGATCTCCCTCATGCTAAGTATGGCTCCTCTGTTGGGCTGTCTCTACAGTCCTGGGGGTCCAGGGGCACAGGGCTCTGGACACCCTCTCAGTAGGGTGTCAGCGGGTATATCCCGATGGGCATTGGGGGGCAGGCTCCAGGGTAGCAGGAGAGTCCGGGCTGTGGTGGCCAGTGGGATGGGAGGGGTGGGAGGTGTCCATGCCCACGGACTGGCTGCCCACCCCTCAGCTTCACAGCCGAATCTGGGGGGGCTCGGCAGAGCTGGGCGGCCGCTCTGCAGGAAGCAGTGACCGAGACCCTGTCTGACTACGAGGTGGCCGAGAAGATCTGGTCGAATCGGGCAAACCGGCATTGTGCGGACTGTGGGGCCTCACGCCCAGACTGGGCCGCTGTCAACCTGGGCGTGGTCATCTGCAAGCAGTGTGCAGGTCAGGGGGGTACTGGCTGGAGCGGGAGGGACTGGCACGGGAGACTCGGGTCCCTATACCAAGTGCCCCTCTCCCGCTCACAGGTCAGCACCGGGCCCTGGGATCGGGGATCTCCAAGGTGCAGAGCCTCAAGCTGGACACGAGCGTGTGGAGTAACGAGATCGTGCAGGTGAGGTGGTGGGTGGAAGGAGTGGGTCGGCCCCGGAGGCCTGGGGCGCGGCTTGGAGTGCTGGGAACTGGTGAGTTCCTGCCGCATGCCTTGGCCCATGTCGTCCTGCAGTTGTTCATTGTCCTGGGAAATGATCGTGCCAACCGCTTCTGGGCAGGGGCTCTACCTCCAGGTGAGGGGCTGCAACCAGACACCAGCCCCGGCACCCGGGGAGAGTTCATTTCCCGGAAGTATCGTCTGGGGCTCTTCCGGAAGCCCCATCCTCAGTATCCAGATCATGGGCAGCTTCTTCAGGTATCCAGGGCAGGTTGTGGCTGATGGGGAGGGGGAGAGAGAGCACTTGCTAAGGGCCAGGGAGTTAGCCCAAGGACTGGGCACTTGCCCAGCATGTGTGAGGCCTGGGTTCCATCCTCAATCCTGCACACATTGATCAGGGCCAAGAGAGATAGTTTAGGAGTTGGGCGTTTGCCTTGCATGTGGCCTACCCCAGTTCAACCTCAGCACTATATAGGGTCTCCAGACTCTACCAGGTGTGATTCCTGAGCACAGAAGTAAGCCCTGAGCACTGCTTGATGTAGCCCCCAAACCATAATAATAATAAATAATTGGATTGGGGTGCCGGGACCAGGGGGTGGGGTCTGTTCCTGTGTCTTGGGGCTGAGCCAGGCCCTCCCACCCCACCCTGCAGGCGCTGTGTGCAGCTGTTGCAGGTCCCAACCTGCTGAAGACCATGACGCAGCTCCTGTGTGCTGAGAGCTCAGAGGGAGATGAGCCCTGGTCCCCCTCGGGCCTCGAAGGCGGCTTCCCTGGAATCCTGCCCCCAGGTAACCCTCCTGAGTGCTTCTTCTCTCTCACCCCGAGGATTCTCTGCCCTTTTCTGTTGCTTGGGTCTTGGGAGGGGTGGGGCGGGCAGGTACTCCCCCACCTGGCCCAACTCCAGGGCCCAACCTGGCTGGTTTCCCAACCCCCTGGGGCTAGGTTCCTATGTCATACAGGGGTGGACAGTGGCCTTGCAGGTGGCGGACCTACAGGTTGAGGACTTGGTGCTGCTCTCTGACAGGGTCAGCCCAGAGACCTGGCCCCACTGCAGGCCGGTGGGTCACAGCAGCATGACCTGGGGAGTTCTCCTTCGGTCTCGCCTAAGGGTCGTGACTTAGAGGATTGTCCACTGGAGCGCAGTGCAGACCGGTGGGGAGACAGCGGGAAGACAGGCTAGAGGCCTCCTCGCTCCTTGCTGACCTCAGAAATGAAGGGGCTGGAGCCACTGGGCTCTGCTGGCTGCCCTGCCGGCGGTGGGCTTGGGTCCCTCTGTCCTGATCCATCCACTCTGTCCCTTGCACAACCCCTGACCATTTCTCCTTCTCCTTGCAGACCCCTCCCCGGGTGTGTACAACGAGGTGGTGGTTCCTGCCACTTACAGCGGCTTCCTGTACTGTGGCCCTGTCAGCAGCAAAGCGGGACCAGCACCCCCACGCAGGGGCCGGGATGGTGAGGGGCACCAAGCACTGGGAGGAGACAGGCAGAATGGGGGCAGTGTACACAGAGGGATAGGCAGCGGCAGGGGGGCTGGGGTGTGGGGCTGGGGTGTGGGTTTGGGGGAGCCAGGCAGGAGGTAGCACTGTGTGACTATGCTTCCAAGTCAGCCCGTGGGGATCAAACCCTGGCTTTGCGGAGTTTGAACGACAGACTGTGGGTGGGGAGCTTGCCTTGCCCATGGTTGACTTGTGTTTGATTCCCAACATTCCATATGGTCCCCTGAGCACTGCCAGGAGTGATTCCTGAGTGCAGAGCCAGGAGTAATCCCTGAGCATCACTGGATGTGACCCCAAAACATTTAAAAGAACCCCCAAATCTTGGCTTTTAACTCAGATAGTTCAGCGGGCAAGGCACTTGCCTTGCATGCAGCTGACCCAGGTTCAATCTTCGGCATCCCATATGATCCCCTGAGCACCACCAGGAGTAATTCCTGAGCACCATCCGGTGCTGCCCCCCAAAAAACAAACAAACAAAACCCTGTCTTTGCTGCATCCTGCCCGTGTAATCTGGGTGAACAACTCAAAACCAAAGCCTCAGTTTCCCCCTCTGTTGGAACAAGGTAACGGTCGTCCTAGGGCAGGGGTGCAGATGGCGAGAAAGCTTGCGCAGACAGTGGTGGCATGGCAGGAAGCTGGCTCACCCGGTGTCCCCCGCAGCGCCCCCCCGGCTGTGGTGTGTGCTGGGAGCAGCTCTGGAAATGTTTGTGTCAGAAAACAGCCCTGACGCGCTCGGCCTCATCCAGCCCCAGGACGTTGTGTGTCTGGGCGTGAGCCCCCCTCCTGCCGACTCCGGAGACCTGGACAGGTAAGAGCCCCCCGGCTCCCTCAGTGCCCTGCCCTGTCCCATCCTGAGCCTGCCCGCCCCCCACCCCCCACCTTTCCTCTCCAGGTTCCCGTTTTCCTTTGAGCTCATCCTCACTGGGGGACGGATCCAGCATTTTGGCACGGACGGGGCTGATAGTCTGGAGGCCTGGACCAGCGCACTGGGCAAGGTAAGAGCCGTGATCCTGCTGGAGAGTTCCTTGTTCCTTCCCACACACACACCTGCAGCTATCCCCACCTTCCACGAGCAGCCGAGGCTGACCATGCACTTCTTCTGTGCCAGACTGGCTTAGGTCCTGTCCCATGTATTTCGTGCCCGCTGCTACTCTCAGAGGGAAGGATTATTACTGCTTCACACAGGAAGAGACTGAGTGTCTGGGTCTGAGAGGGCTTATGGGCTGAGCACAGAAGCTTTGCGCGCAGGAGGCTGTGGTGTTTTTGTTTACATTATGTTGGTTTGGTTTTGGGCCACACCCAGCGCTGCTCAGGGCTGACTCCTAGCTCTGCTCTCCTGTGGTGCTGGGGACCATATGGGGTGCCTGGGTCTGCCGACTAGAGGACAGTACTACCTGCTGTCTCCAGTCCCCAGGCTCAAGTTTGTTCCCCAGCAACACGTGGTTCCTTGAGCATCACTAGGAGTGAGCACTGATGTAGCAGTAGCCCCCAACAGCAAAAAAAAAAAAAAAAAAGAGAGAGAGAGAGGACGGAGAACACTAGTGAGTCTTGCTTACATCCAGGGAAATGGCTCAAAGGGCTGCAGCACAGGCCTCGCATGCACATGGCCTTAAGTTGTACCTCCAGCCCCACTCCCAGCACTGCCAATTGTGGTCCTGTTGCCCACCGGCACCCAAGCCGGATCCCAGTGTCCAGCTGTCGGCACCACCCACTTGGTCGCTTGGTCCCAGGCAGCAGGCCCGGAACACCAGGCCTCTGAGTCCAGAGTCTAGGCCGAATCACAGAGAGGTGCCCTCTCCCTCCACTCCCCTGCTGCCCCTCGTTCTCCAGCTCCCGAGGCGAGGCTGCTTTCCTTCCCCTGCTCCTCCATCCCATCCGTCCTAACCTGTCCTCTCAGGCCCTGGGATGCGGCATCTGGGACCAGAGGCCTCTCGCTCACAGCCTCGTGGTAGTGCTCAGGGCTGAGGCGGCAGTGACCAGGTGGCCATGCTGCCTGGCACTGGGCAGGCCTCATCTGCGGGCACTGTGTCCATCGTGATGAAGGGGACTTCCGTCTGGAAGCAGCTGTGCCATTGGCCCCCTCCTGGCAGCCTCTCAGAATCTGGTGTTCCTGGCAGTCCCTCCTTATCCATGCCGCTGTCCCCGTACCTTGCTCCTTGGGACTCCTCTTGCCGTGGTCATGGGTGCCCCTTGCTGAGTCGAAAGGCCTCTGGCATCAACAACCGTCTGTGGCCCTTGTGCTGTTTCTACCCTGCTGGCCCCCTTCCCAGGTTCCCTGGAGCTCCTTGTACCAGGGAGTCACCTCTGGGGGGCCAGAGAGGAAGCTCAATGGGTTGAGTATCTGCTTTGCACAAGGGAGGCCGGGGTTCAGTCCCCAGCACTGCACGGTCCCCTGAACACTGCTTAGAGTGACTCCCTGTCCCAGGCTGGTAGCAGTCCCTGAGCCCCAGCAGGGGGAACATGAGGCCAAAATAGAAGGCAGGGGAGAATGTTGCCCTATTGCTGAAGGGCTCTCTGGAGCCTGCCCAGCTCCTCCACCTAGCCATGCCAGGACCCTGGCCACCCCCGAAGGCAGCCCCCTCCCCCCGTCCCACCCCATCCAAGGCTGCTGAGGGATGTGGGATCCACCTGGCGCCATGGTCTCCGGCAGTGTGACCCGACCAAGGTGGAACTTGCGAGTCAGCGTTTCACAGGAGAGCAGCGGACAGGGTGATTTTACCGGGGAATCTAATTCTCAGAAGTGGGGCCTTAGCGTTTTGTATGTCTGTTTTCATTTCACTTTTCTAGTAATTCATCTTTATTGGTTTTTGATGAAAGTATGGATAACTGACAGGTTGGGAAATTTTAAAGACAGGAGAAAAATAAAAATAAAAAGCCAGCCAAACTTGTTTTCTGTAAGTCAGTGGAAAGGGGGACCCCACTTTCTCCGTGATGGTGCCCCAGGCCCCGGGGGTGGTGGGATTTGCCCAGCGCCCTGACCTTGCAGTTGTGACGCATTAATGAAGGGCAAAGATCTCTCTGTGCTGGCTGGAGTGAACCGAATCAAATTGAATTCTTGTCTGTCTGTCTCCACCCACGTTGTGTCTGCTCCCTGGCCTTCCTCTGCTCTCTCCTGCCCTCCCCATCCCTCTTTCACCCACCTGGCTCTCCATCCTGGGTCCTGCCCCCTGCTCCGCACAGTGGTTCTCCCCGCTGAGCTGTCACCAGCTGCTGGGTCCCGGGTTGCTGCGGCTGGGCCGACTCTGGCTGCGCTCGCCCTCCCACACGGCCCCAGCTCCTGGCCTCTGGCTGTCAGGGTTTGGCCTCCTTCGTGGGGACCACCTGTTCCTATGTTCAGCGCCAGGCCCGGGTCCCCCAGCTCCCGAGGACATGGTGCATCTACGGCGGCTTCAGGAGATCAGTGAGTAGGAAGGGGCAGGGTTTGAAGGGGGGCTGTGTGGGGATGGGGAGGGGGGACCCTCTTCAGAGCAACAGCAAAACAGTGAATCATAGTGGAGTCAGCCACAAACTGTGGAGTTAGACTCACAAAGTTCGGGTCCCTGTCTCAAGCACTTCCTAGATGTGTGACTATGAACAAGTTACTTGGCTTCTCTGTTTTTAAGTTTCCTCATCTTTGCAATGGGAACAATAATGAGGCACTAGTGAGTTTCAAATAAGGCAAAGCATGGAAAACACCAGAGAGTCTGGCAGGAGGCATTTTACAAGTGTTTAATACAGATTATTGTTATTATTTAGGGTCCCTTAGGGGTCATGGTCTGGAAGGGGGACAGTGCTGTCACTTGAAGTGACCGGGGAAGTAAAGAGGAGCGGGAAGGGGAAATGTTTCAGGGCTCTGGAGACAAGAGATCTGAGTTCAAACTCAGCTTTGTTACTTTATTATTTATTTACTTACTTGGTTTTGGGGCTAAGCCTGGCAATGCTTAGGGGGTCACTCCTGGCTCTGCACTCAGAAATTACTCCTGGTGGTGCTCAGGGGAGCAGATGGGATAAATCCGGGGTGTCTGGCGTGAAGGCAAACAAACACTCAGGCCCCAGCTCTGTTATTTTGTAGCAAGCCATCCGAGGCAAGTTACTTATGTCACCTGAGCTTTTAAAAAATTTTATTTATTTATTTATTTTTTAAATAACATCGGCTCTACAATAGGGTGATTATATAACCCATAGGCTTTAAGGCACCATTGCTTTCAGGCTTCTAACCTAGCCAACTGCATACCTGAAACATCTAATCAATATTAGTCACCATAAAGACAATAGCAGACATGCTCACTGATTTTTCCGCAGGTGTGGTCTCTGCAGCCGACACCCCAGACAAGAAGGAACATTTGGTTCTGGTGGAGCCAGGAAGGTGAGTGTTGATCCTAAGCCTGTGTCTCGGGTCCCTCTCTCTGGAGCTCAGCCCACAGCCTCCAGCTACTGGACCTGTGCTCACTTCCTCAAGTCACTTCCTCAGTCGGGAGGCCCTGGGTTGCATGTTGCTGCCCCCTGCTGGTTGTTCTGAGAAGCTCGGGGCTGCTGTGCTGCTGTCGGAACACCCTCCTCCATACAGCTGGCTCTGATTCAGGCCTCTGGGGTCTCAGGACCCTGTATCTACAGGGCGAGGGCCGGCTGGACTTCTCAGCATGGAACGCCGCCATTGGGGGTGCAGCCGGTGGGGGCGGCACCGGGCTGCAGGAGCAGCAGATGAGCAGAGGGGACATCCCTATTATCGTGGATGCCTGCATAAGCTTCGTCACCCAGCACGGTGAGGGGCACTGAGCCACAGGAAGATTGGGACCAAGGGCACCATTGCTGGGTATGAGGGGGAGTGGGGGCATTATTTGTCTGCAAGAGCTTGGCCTGCAGAGACTGTAGCCCAACAACCACTGGCCCTCTGACCCTTGGCAAGCTACCTGTAAAGTGGGGGTACTAACCATTCTGTTTTTGAGGGAAGAGGAAAAGCACACCTGGTGATGGTCAGGGGATACTCCTGACTCTGTACTCTGGAATTACTCTTGGGCGGTGCTGGGGGGACCGTATGGAATTCTGGGGATTGAACCTGGGTTGGCCGTGTGCAAGGCAAGCACCCTACCTGCTGTATTATCTTTCCAGCCCACTAAATGTCCCCACTTTTTAGGATAGTTGTGCTACTGAGGTAACACATGTAAAGCCTAGACTACCTATCTATCAGGTAGTCAGTGCCCGACATGGCTCTATTTGGAGGGGGCACACCAGGTGGTGCTCAGAGTTTACTCTTGGCTTTGCATTCAGGGACCACTCCTGGCAGGGCTCAGAAGACCATATAGGGGGCCAGGGATTGAGCCCGGGTTGGCCACATGCAAGGCGAGTGCCCTATCCACTAAAATATCAGTTTGCCCCCAAGAGATAGCTGCTAGTGCCAAAGCCATAGTACAGCAGATAGGGCATTTGCCTTACATGCTGCTGACTTAAGTTTGATCCCTGGCATCCCAAGGGGTGATTTCTGAGTGCAGAGCCAGAAGTAACAACTGTACATCAACACATCAACAGCGTGCCCCCCAAAACAAAAGCAAAACAACCCAAAAGAGCTACTTTGGGATATGGACACGTGGAGGGAATGGTTCTGAGGGCGACGGGGTAGGAGATCCATGGCGTGCAAAGAAGGGACAGCTACAGAATAAGAGCCAAACTGTGCAGGAGAACCCATGTAGGGCTGGGCAGGGTTCCTGGCAGGAGGTAGGCCAGGTATAGTGGGGGCAGCTCGGCCAGTGATTCCCAGAATCCTTTGTGAGCTTTTGGCCTTGGCTTTATTCTCCAGCCTCAGCAAGGATCTAGTGGAATCTCCCTGACGACCTGCCTTCAGAAGGCAAATCGGTAGTAAACTGTAAGGGCAGTGATGAGGAAAAAAGGCACCTCCAAGGACCTACAAAGAGTGGTGCTTACCACAGGACTTGGGACAGCCAATAATGTTCTCCAGACCTCTTGCAGAGACTTGCTTCCCCCACTCCTTCACGCCGAGCTGCTTCTCAGCCTCCCTGTGTGCAGAGGAGCACTTAAGTGAGAGACCCAGTGAAAAAGCCCTGGAGAAAGTGTGGGTGTTCGTCCCCATCCCTTCTGGTTCCTGCCACTCCTCATTCAAGAGCAGTTTATTCAACAGCTTCTGTGCGCCAGACCATGGGTGAACAGGAAAGTTCTCTAGACCTCAGAGACTAGTGGGAGAGATGGGTAAGATGCAAGAGAACAAAGACAGCCTCTTGTTCTTCACAGGGCTTATATTCTATAAAGCCTCTGCATTATGGAATTAATGGACACTGAGTCATTACTTCAGTGGAAAGTCAGGGTTAGGTGCCCGGAACTCTCTGCCTGTCTTTTCATCATACCGTCAATATGTTGCCTTGTTTTATAAGTGTTGCTGCTTAAAGACTCCTTATTCAGTCTATATTGCTGATGCGTTAACATTGAGCTCACAGCCAACAGTGCTATGACTCACGCCTGAATAAAGCTTGTCTAACACATATTTTTTCCATCAGGCACATCACAGCCTTCTTGTGTTTGGGAATGCTAGGCAGCACTTCAGGATTGCACTTGAAAGGCATTTTAAACAGCAAACCCTCCAATGAGAAGCACCAGAATACAAAAAAACCACGACTCCATAGTCCACGAAAACACTTGTTTACAGTATGAGACTTGTGCTTGGAACGTGAGCAGCGGGCAGCTCGCGGCTTCTCAGCTCTGTCCAGGCTCACAGAACTGCAGAAGTGGTACACGTATTATTTGGGGGATTGCAAATAAGTCTAAGTAAATTCAAAATCCGCCAGGAGCAAGGGTCAGCTGTACAAATAGTCCGTCCCCCCTTATCCTCAGAGGCTGTGTTCCAAGACACCCCAGCAGTGGATGCTTGAAGGCAAGGATGCTGCTGAACCCTAAATTTATACCCTTTTCCCCCCATATAACTACATGACACATTTTAAATTAGGCACAGTAAGAGAGGAGCACTAATAATAAATGGGGCAATTATACCAGCGTGCTGGGATAAAAGTTCTGTGGATATGGACTCCGTCCAAATATTTTTGTAAATCTTTTCCAGTGGCAGTTGACCATGGAATACTGAAACCGCAGAATGAAACCTGGGCTAATGGGGTGGGGGTGGGGGCCGGCTGTCAGGTGATCAGAGAGTGCTGTTTAAAAATAAAAGTGGGTGGGAAATGAGGGAGGGTGCTGTGGTGTGCCTGAGTCTAGTTAGGGAGAGACCTTTATTTACTTATTTCTTTGTTTCGTTTGGGGCCACACCCAGTGGCACTCAGGACTTACTCCTGGCTCTGCACTCAGGAATCACTCCTGGCGGTGCTTGAGGGACCATGTGGGCTGCTGGGGATCAAACTCAGGTCAGCGACACACAAGGCAAACACCTACCCATTGTACTATTGCTCCAGCCCCGGATGAGGACCTGGGCTGGCGATAAGGCATTTGCCCAGCATGCAGCCGATCCGGGTTTGATTCCCAGCATCCCATATGGTCCTTGAAGACCCACCAGGAGTGATCCCTGAACACAGCTCGAAGTAACTCCTGAGTACAGCTGGGTGTGGCTCCTTCATAAATAAGATGTGGACTTAGGAAGGCTATGAAGGCAGTGACCCGGCCCCCCAAGAGCCATGTACCATGTAGGGTGCTCACCAAGGGGTTGGTGGTGGGTGGTGCTGGACTCTGGGTGAACAGAGGGACGTCGGCTGTTTCAGGGCTGCGGCTGGAGGGTGTCTACCGGAAAGGGGGTGCCCGCGCACGCAGCCTGCGGCTCCTGGCTGAGTTCCGACGGGATGCCCGCTCAGTCAAGCTGCGTCCCGGCGAGCACTTTGTGGAGGATGTCACCGACACACTCAAACGCTTCTTTCGAGAGCTCGATGACCCTGTGACCTCTGCGCGGATGCTGCCTCGCTGGAGGGAGGCTGCCGGTACTCCCCAGATTGCTAAAACCTCCTCCAAGGCTCAACTGGGATCCCTTCCTCCTCACCAGCATCCCCCCTTCCTGAAGGATTGATCACCCCGGGGGTATGGTGGGAGGGACAGACACATCCCCACTGTTTTTGTTTTTCTGAGATTTCCCCCTCTTCATGCTCTTCCTTGGTTCTCTCCAACCCTTTCTTCGGCCCTTCCCAGAGCTGCCCCAGAAGAATCAGCGCCTGGAAAAATACAAGGAAGTGATCAGCTGCCTGCCTCGGGTCAACCGCCGCACGTTGGCCACCCTCATCGACCATCTTTACCGGTCAGTCTGGAGGGACCTCTGGGAGACCCCTCTCCAACCTCTGCCTCTTCTCCCCGGCCCCTGCTGTCATCCATCTTTTCTTCTCACTACAGAACTAAGTGAGGACAGCACAGGCTGAGGTGTCAGAACTTTGTATCAGTCAGGTCAAGGCCTTAATCTGGCACCACCTTTCTTGAGTGTGACTATGTCATCGGCTCTCTCTCTTGAGTCTGTTTCTTCATCTGAAAAAGGAAAGGGGGTTGGGTGGGCAGAGCAGTAGGACAGCCAGTAGGCCACTTGCCTTGCATGAGGCTGACCTGGGTTCGATCCCTGGCATCCCATATGGTCCCCTGAGTCCTGCCAGGAGTGATCCCTGAGCTCATCAGACTGGAGCAAGCCCTGAGTGCTGCGGGTGTGACCCAAAAGGGATAAAGAAAAGAATGAATGAATAGTATGCAGTTTGTATGTTACATCACAGTAAAAAGGAGAAAATCTTGTAAAATTCTTGCTGGCGTGTTTGTGGTAAGAATTCAGAAATGGTGAGCCATTTCTAGTACTATTTTTTCAGTTACTCTGTACTAGGTGAAGGGCTACAGGAGACACAGAGAAGTTGCAGATCTACATTTATTATTAGAGGCTTCTTAAAAATAGGGGCCTCGGGGCTGGAGCGATAGCACAGCGGGTAGGGCAGTTGCCTTGCATGCGGCCAACCCGGGTTCAATTCCCAGCATCCCATATGGTCCCCTGATCCAGGACTATTACCAGTCATGCTTGGTGTACACCAGGGCTATACCTAGTGTTGTAATACCAAGGGTTGAACTCAGGGTCTCACCCTTCTTAGGCACGTGACCCACCCCTCTGCACCACATCCCAGCCCAGGAGACCAGTTTTTGAGTGACTTTTGGGTAAACCTGGCCATGTTGTACCACTTACACTCTGTCAAGCCAACTGCTAGCGATGGCCTATGGGCAAATCCAACCTGTTGCCTATTTTTGTAAATAAAATATAAAAAGCCATTCCCATTCACTTTTTTATTGCTTCTGGCTCCTTCACACTCCAGCAATGGACTGACAGGCTTGCAGCAGACCACGGATGGCTGATCAACCTGCAATATTACCTTTTACTTTATCTAAAGCATTTTCAACCCACTGCTTGGCTTGGTTCACCCATTTCTTGCCCGTCTTCCCCAGATTGGGCGCTCTTAAGGGTGAGGTTGGTCTTACTGCTCTATCCCCCGAGTGCTTAGTCCAGGCCTGGCATAGCAGGGGCTCTATAAGTGCTTTTATTTGTGTGGGGACCTCCCCATCCATGCCTGGCCCCCCCCCCCAGAGTCCAGGCAGTGTTAGGTAGCACGCATCTCACCCATGCCCCTGCCCTCAGCTCTCTCCCGACCCTCAGTGTTTGCTGACAGTTGGCTCTGCCTATGTGTGGGTGAGCAAAGGCTCTGCACCCTGCCCTTCCTTTGCAGGGTGCAGAAGTGTGCGGCTCTAAACCAGATGTGCACACGGAACCTGGCCCTGCTGTTTGCGCCCAGCGTATTCCAGACCGATGGGCGAGGGGAGCATGAGGTGCGGGTGCTACAGGAGCTCATCGACAGCTATGTCTCTGTCTTTGATGTAAGTGCTCCCGCCCCCACAGACCACCTTTCCTCCTGGCCCCTGCACCTAAGGCCCCCCAGCGAGCCCCCAGAACGTCTTGGTATCACAAACCTCCTTCCAGAGGCCTTGCCTCCGGGTCAACCATACTCTGGTTTGACTTCTCAGTTCTCCAGTCCTGACGTCTGTCTCTCTTTCCCTCTCCCTCACCCCCCTTTTGGCACACCCTCACCCACCTGTCCCACACCTCCCTTTTGGCTTTCCACAGATCGACTCTGATCAGGTCGCTCAGATTGACCTGGAGGTTAGCCTAATCACCACCTGGAAGGACGTGCAGGTAACTTGTCCCAAGCGGGCCAGGCTGGACCCTCAGGAGAAGCAGCTGACAGGGTGCCTCTGATCTGGCCCTCAGCTCTTGGGGGGCAGGGCTTGGGGATTTGCTCCATTTGTTCTAACATGAGGAATCTTTTTTTTTTCTTTTTCTTTTTTTTTTTTTTAAGTGGTAGAAGCTCTTAGTTCGCAAGCAAATCAGATAAAGTAGGGGGGTCAGAAACTGTCAAGCCTGTGACCTCAAAATTCTCCTAACCCTCTGAAGTTGGTAGTTCCTTTTTTTCCCCCCTTTTTCCTGGACTCCTGGACCTCCTCAGCAGTGCTCAGGGAGATTCATGCCAGCAGTAGAGACCCAGCAGCTCAGCACCTGACACAGCAGTATGGGGAGTGGGGCAGGGATAGAACTCAGGGCTTTGCCCCTGTGAGCCGTAATTCCAGCCTGGTAGTCCCATTTCTTTTTCAAATAAAGAAATGGAGGTGGAGCCAGAGTGATAGGACAGAGGTTACGGTGTTTACCTTGCGATGCTCCTGATCTGGGTTTGGTCCCTGGCACCCCATATGCCCCAGAACCCAGGTGGGAGTCATCTCGTGATACTAGCGTGATGGGGTTGAGGCCGGGAAAACTGCACACATGGAATTTGATCATGGCTGATTGTAAAGTTGTGTGCTATGAAGAACTTGTAAATTACAGTGCCTCAATAAAAAAAAAATACTAAAAAAAAAAAGGAAAAAAATGGAGGTGGGCTGGGGAGCTAGTACAGTAGGTAGGGCGCTTCCATGTACATGGTCATCCGTTGATCAGCAACCTCACCTGCGAGCACAGAGCCAGGAATAGGCCCCAAGCACCTCTGGGTATGGCCCCCAAACAAAAACCCAAAAAGGAAATGGGAGGCTTGGAAGGTCACTTATTCAAAGTCATACTGTAGTGGTGGCAGAGTTGAAAGACGCAGTCTCACACTGGGACATGGCCTCTGCCGGGCGAGCACCCACGCAGCCTGATGCTGCAGACCCACTAGTCCTGGGGTTCTCTCGTTTAAGAGGGGGATATTTATGGGGGGAAGTGCTCGAGAGGCAGCACACAGCGTCCTCTGTCTGGGCTTGGATCTTGGCCTGCTCCTGACTTCTCTGGCCTCCCTGCAGCTGTCCCAGGCCGGGGACCTCATCATGGAGGTTTATATAGAGCACCAGCTCCCAGACAACTGTGTCACCCTGAAGGTGAGTACAGAGGGGTTTAGGGGGGGCGAGAAGGAGAGTGTGGGGAGGGAGCAGGGGCAGTGATCTGACTACAACGGCTCCTCTGTTCTGCTCCTGACCCCAGGTTTCCCCAACCCTGACTGCGGGGGAGCTGACGAACCAGGTACTAGAGATGCGGGGAGCAGCCACTGGCACAGACTTGTGGGTGACATTTGAGATTCGAGAGCACGGGGAACTTGGTGAGTGTGAGCGGGCGTGTGCACATGTGTGTGGATGGGGTCCGAGTCACCAATGTCTTCTGTGTTTCTACATCTGGTGCGCGGACTCCATTCTCTCCCATGGTGTAGCTGTACAGCAGCTGATGTCCCCTTTGCCCGCATTCACCCCAACCGCCCAGTGCTTAGGGCCACAGAGGGTCCTTTCCTCCTCAAAGAAAACTCAGAATTCATCCTCTAATCAGACTTCAAATGTTAGAGAGATTCTGAGCTGATTCATGGTGTTAAATATCATTAGTAAGCTGGTCCCTGTGCTGGAGCGATAGCACAGCGGGTAGGGCATTTGTCTTGCACGCAGCCAATATGCCAACCTGAGTTCAATTCCTCCACCCCTCTCGGAGAGACGGGCAAGCTACCGAGAGTATCTCACCTGCACGGCAGAGCCTGGCAAGCTACCTGTGATGTATTCGATATGCCAAACACAGTAACAACAAAAAATTTCCAATGGAGACGTTACTGGGCCCGCTCGAGCAAATCGATGAACAGCGGGAGGACAGTGACAGTGAAGCTGGTCCCTGAATCCATATACCTGTTTCCCACTCAGCACCTCCACTTTAGGACCAGAGGGATAGTATACCAGGTAGGACACTGCCCAGATTTGATTGTTGCCTTGTAGGAGGCTGTCCAGATTTGATTCCTGGAATCGCATTTGGTTCCCTGAGCATTTCCAAAAATGATCCCTGGGCACAAAACCAGGAATAAGTCCTGAGCATAGCCAAGTGTGGACCACAAATAAACGAACAAAAAACCAAAACACTCCTGCACTTGTAGGTTGTGTAAGTACCTCCAACTTATTTCGGGGTTGTTTTTTGCCCCCCCCCCCCCGGTGGTGCTCAGGGATTATTCCTGGCACTGTGTTCAGGGATCACGCCTGGTGGGACGGGGGGGCTATAGGTTGCGGTGGGGATCGAACCCTGGTTGGCCAGGTGCAAGGCAAAGGCTCTACCTTCTATACTATCTCTCTGTCTTCTAGGCATCCCCAATTTAAGGTGTGTTAGACCAAATTCAATTCCCAGTGCTCTCCCCTGAATAAGTGGGGTGCCGGAGATTGAACCCAGGCCGGCCACATACAAGGCAAGAGCCCTACCCACTACAGTTTCAGTCCTGAAATTACCATTCTTCCTGCTCCCCAAAGTGAGCAGAAATTGACTAATTGCTTAGCATTGCATTCTCACATTCCTACAATCCAGTGTCCATATAGCAGCCAAATGACCATGTTACAGTACATCAGAGAATGCCACTCGGGGTATGCAGTGGAAGGAGTACTTCCACTGGCTTCCTGTTGAACTTAAAATAACATTTCAGATTCTTTAGTGTGGCCTGGAATGCCTGGTGCTTGTTTATTTTCAGACCTCCAGTCACATAACTCATTTCTTTTCTTTTTGTTTCAGCCACAACAATGAATTTCTCAAACCTTTGGTCTTGCGTTTCGTCCCTTCTGAAATCTTTCAGATTAGCATGAGTTGTTCCTCCTTTAGATCTCTCGAGTCTCATTTTCAAATGCTTTCTCTGGAAGCCTTGTCCAGTCATCCTCGCCTAGCAGCTGCCCAATGACTCCTTTTGGCAGTACTCAGGGCTTATTCCTTGCTCTCTTGTTCAGGGGTTAATCTTGGTGGGGCTGGGTGGACCGTGTGGGGTGCCAAGCATCAAACCCAGGTCAGCTGCCCCATGTAAGCCAACGCCTTTATCCCTGTATTATCTCTGTGTCCCCTGATTCTCAGCTTCTTGTTGTTTCTTTCAAAGCAACGATTCCTCTACAGTTATTTGGTTTGCTTACCTGTTTGCTGTCTACTTCCACAGCACGTGTGTGTGAGCTTTGCTTTGTGCCATGTTCAGTAGATTTGCTCTAGGTCCTGCTCCAGCAGCATTTTCTGTCACAATTATAATGCAAACAGTTTTACCAAAACTAACTTGCCTTAAGATAGCTCAAAGGCTTGGAGGTAGGTAGACCAGAGTTCCAAAGCCAGCACCCCTTGGACCCCACAGCACCTCCAGGTGTTTGGGCACCAGCCTGGCTTAAACTCAGCACCACCGATGGGGGCCCAACCATCTCTAACCCAGCAGCCCCCTAATAAAGATTTTTCAAAAATCACTGTCACTGTATCACTGTCACCCAGTTGATCATCAAATTACTCAAGCGGGTGCCAGTAATGTCTCTGTTCCTCCCAGACCTGGGATTTTAGCAGCCTCTTTTTTCATCTTTTCCTAACAATTGGAGGCTCTTTCAGGGTCAGGGGAATGAGACCTGTTGTCATTACTGTGTTTGGCATATTGAATACGCCATGGGGAGCTTGCCAGGCTCTGTTGGTGGGGTACTCTTGGTAGCTTGTCAGACAATTTGGTTTCATATTTGCTCTCAAATGACACAGTGCTTGTGTTTTTATATTCTAGAAAATATAAGATTATTTTCCATATTTTATAGATACTGTAGGGCTGGAGTGATAGCACAGTGGTAGGGCGTTTGCCTTGTGTGCAGCCAGCCCAGCCAAGCCGGGTTTGATTCCTCCGTCCCACTCGGAGAGCTCGGTAAGCTACCGAGAGTATCTCGCCCGTATGGCAAAGCCTGGGAAGCTACCCGTGACATATTCAATATGCAATGTATTCAGTATGCAACAACAAGTCTCAAAATGGAGACGTTACTGGGCCCGCGCGAGCAAATCGATGAACAATGGGAGGACAGGGTTTGTTTGTTTTGTTTATAGTTACTGTATGTTAGCTCTCATACAGTATAGTAGACGTGGTGGTCTTAAAATAATGGATGATGGGGTCAGGGAGACAGCCCAAAGAGCTGGAGCATATGGTTTACATGTAGAACAAATTCTCCCTAGCCTTGTCTGAAATGGCCTCCCCACTCCACTCCAAAAAAAATAGTGGATGATAACCACACATATCAACTCAATAGAAAATATAGCGATAAAACTTGCTGGAAGTGTGAAATCAGAGTGTAAAGCCATATTGCATACTAGTCTGAAAATGATAACATATTGCTACTTCAATAACAGTCACATCTCCCACTGTTTACCAAGCTCCAGCCAGAGAGGTAGTACAGAGAGTGGGGTGCTTGTGGCCAAATTGGTTTCAATCCCCGGCACCCCATATGGTCTCCCGAGCCCAGCCAGGAGTGATCCCTGAGTGCTGATCCAGGAGTAAGCCCTGAGCATAGCCAAGTGTGGTCCCCAAACCAAAAAAGTTTTCCAGGCTCTGGCATATATAAAAGAAAAAGCCAGTACTAAAGCACAGCCTTTGGACCAGAGAGCTAGTTCAGGGGTTAAGGGCTTGCTTTGTAGTGCTGACTCTGGCACTACATATGGTCTCCCAAGGACTATCTGAAGTGGCCCCTGAGCACAGCGCTAGGAGTAAGCCCTGAGCATGGCTAGATGTGGCCCAGAAAGCAAAATTAAATAAAGAACCAGCTTCGACAGTGTTCTTTACAAATTCTTTCTTGGGTTTTTGTTGTTTTGGGGGCCGACGTCTAGCAGTACTCAGGGCTTATTCCGGGCTGGTGCTTGGGGGTTGCCCCACAGTGTTGCTTGGGGGACCATGTGGTGCTAGGGTGCAAACTTGGGGCTTCTACAGGCAAAGCAAGCACTCCAGCCCCTTAAGCCATCTCTCCAGTCCCCTACAATAAAGTTAAAAAAATTTTGTTATTAATCTGTATGTTTCAGTGTGCATCTTTGAATTAATGTTCTTCCTTTATTTTCCACTAATTTTCTCTTTCATGGAAAAAAATGACGAATGACCACTTAGTTACTTGGTGAAAATGCCTATAGCAAAGTACTTATACCAAATCTACCCAGAACCATCTCATGCTCCTTCCTAGTCAATGCTAAAATAAATGTCTAAGGGTAGAGAAATAGAACAGTGGAAACGGTGCTTGCCTTGCATGTGGCTTACCTGGCTTCGATCCCTGGCACCCTGTATGGATCCCCACGCCCTGCCAGGATTGACCCCTGAATGCAGAGCCAGAAGGAAGACCTGAGCACAGCTGGGTATGACCCCAAAACAAAACCAAAAAAAATGTGGCTGAGTGGACGATGAGTGAACGGATGCAGGAATGAATCAGTGAATGGCAGGCGTTGAGCTGATGGAGATCCTGGTTGATGGCCAGCTCTCTCGCCCCACAGAGCGGCCGCTGCACCCCAAAGAGAGGGTCCTGGAGCAGGCTCTGCAATGGTGCCAGCTCCCAGAGCCTGGCTCGGCTTCCTTGCTCCTGAAGAAAGTCTCCCTGGCGCAGGCCGGCTGCCTCTTCACGGGTGAGCCTCCCCTCCTGAGCCCATAGCCCCGGCCGGCCCCCTCAGACCTCGAGGCTCAGCACTGCCCCCTTGTGCCCAGGTATGCGGCGGGAGAGCCCGCGGGTGGGGCTGTTGCGGTGCCGGGAGGAGCCGCCCCGCTTGCTAGGAAACCGCTTCCAGGAGAGATTCTTCCTGCTGCGGGACCGCTGCCTGCTGCTTCTGAAGGAGAAGAAGGTGAGCGCCCACCTCCCCCCCACCCCGCTCCCCTGCGAAGGGGGTACAGGTGCCCTGGGGGAGGAGCCACGGCCGCATCACCCCCTCATGGGGCGCCTGACACTCCTGTAACGCCAGACCGGTGCCCCTTCTCTCCCCTCTCATCTGCTTCTGTTCTCAGAGCTCTAAACCGGAACGGGAGTGGCCTTTGGACGGGGCCAAGGTGTACTTGGGCATCCGCAAGAAGTTAAAGCCTCCCACGCCGTGAGTTTGATCCCCCACCCGGCTCGGAGCTCCCCCCACCTCCCGGGCCTTTACTGCTCCCCATCACTGTCTTCCTTTGCCTCCTAGGTGGGGCTTCACGCTGCTACTGGACAAGATGCACCTGTGAGTCGGCACAGCCTGGCCCCTCCCCCCTCCCCTTCCTCCTCCTGTCCTTCTGCCCCCTCCTCTCCCCCCCTTCTTCCTCCTGTCCTCTTGTCTCCCCTTGTGCTGATCGTCCTCTGCCCCTCCTGCCCCCCAGCTACCTGGCCTGCACTGATGAGGATGAGATGTGGGACTGGACCACCAGCATCCTCAAAACCCAGGTGAGAGGAAGGAGAAGGCTAAGGATGGGATCTGTGGGTGCCGCTCCCCCAGGCACCCCTGTACACACCCTTCATCTTCTACCAGCATGATGACCAGCAGCCAGTGGTCCTGCGCCGCCGCTCCGCCTCTGACCTGGCCCGGCAGAAGTTTGGCACCATGCCCTTGCTGCCCATCCGCGGGGACGACTGCGGTGCTACCCTCCTCTCGGCCAACCAGACCCTGGTGAGGCTCCTCCGGCCCACCCAGCCTGTGTCCTTGCTACACTGTAGGAGGGAGTGGGGTGCCCGCCTGCCCAGGGACCCTTTCTGTCTGCTCTGAGCCTCCCACCCCCCCACCCCCCAGCCACGTCACAGTGCCAGATCTCACCATGTCTCTGTGTCTGTCCACCCTGTCCCTCCTGTCCCCCTCAGCGGCGACTTCACAACCGGAGGACCCTGTCCATGTTCTTTGTGAGTACTGTGCACCCCCGCGATCTGTCCCAACTCAGGTGTCATCTTTTTATTTTATAAATAAGATACTTTGTTTTATTTATTTTTTTTAATTTTTGGGCAACACCCAGCTGCTCCTAGGTTGCTTCTGGCTCTGCACTCAGGAATTAGTCCTGGCAGTGCTCAGGGTGCCATATGGGAGGCCCAGGATTGAATATGGGTTGGGCACATGCAAGGCAAACGCCCTACCTGCCCTCCTATCCCTCCAGCCCCAATTAGATGCTATATTTAAACACTGTGGTTTACAAAGCTGTCCATAAGAATGTTCGAACGCCAATCCCACCACCAAAATGACCTTTCCTCCATCACTCTCCCCATTTTCCAAACCACCTTCCAAGCCTGCCATCTTAGCTGGCACACGGCAGCTTAGTTTATATTGCTTGTGGCAACTGAATGGCTAAAGGAAGTAACAATACTTCAGGAAAAGAAAATATGTGAAAATTGTTATATTTCACCAGGGGTTGGTTGTTAAGTGCTTGTCTAAGAATTTCTAAGCTCTTTGTTGCCCATTAAGCCTTTGGTGTCACTTTTTGTTTGTTGAGTTTAGTTGCTGTCTGTACGACTTTCCATGTAATCTGGTGTGCTCCTGCTGGAATTTCAGTTTTGACGAACTTCAGGATTGTCGCGGGGCTGTATATGAACGAGGGGAGGGAGGGTGTTGCGTGTAGAAAGGGGTGATGGTGGGATACAGTGGGGCTGGGGGAAGTGGTCATCGGATGTGAGAAACAGAAGTAAAGGAACTTGATTTGGGGGGAATAGACAGTGGGGAGAAGCCCAGTGCTCTGTTCCCTCAGGGTGTGATTCTGGCCAGTGCCCCTGGGCTCTGCGTGCCTCAGGTCACCCACCTGGAGTGGAACAGCTCTGTGGCATCAATGTGGGCGGAATATTGTTCCAGACCTGGCTCAGAGGAAGCACTTGGTCTCTGCGTTCGCTACGCTAATGTTGGCCCTTCTGCTGCCCTGTTCCCTCGCAGCCCATGAAGTCATCGCAGGGGTCTGTGGAGGAGCAGGAGGAGCTGGAGGAGCCTGTGTATGAGGAGCCAGTGTACGAGGAAGTGGGGGCCTTCTCCGAGCTAACCGAGGAAACCTCCACCTCCTTCGCCATGCCAGAGCGGACAGCCGACTCCGAGGCCCCCTCTGCCAAGCAGAGGTCCTTTGATCAGTCACTGCTCTCCAAGGCAGGCGACCTGGGCCTGGAAGAGCAGCCCCCCGAGCCCCCTTTGAGCCCCCCTTCAAAGAGAAGCCCCCAGGCGCAGGGGTCCCTGGAGGAGCAGCTGCTCCAGGAGCTCAACAACCTCATCCTCAGGAAGGGAGAGCCCCTGGGCAGCCCCTCCCAGCCCCCCAGCCCCCAGCCCCCCAGCCCTCAGCCCTCCAGCCCTGAGCCCCCCAGCCCTCATTGCCTTGCAACACAGAAAGGGGGCTTTCTTGCTCAGCCTCCCTGCACCTCCAGCGCCCCCTCCAGCCAGCCCCTCACCTGATCTGGGACTGCCGGTCTGAGGGGGTAGGTAACCCACCATGCCTGACACGACTTCCGGGAGCTGCCTCTCTCTGGCTGGGAGACCACAGGGTCCAGTGTGGGGCTGTGGCAGGGGCCTGTACAGGACTGAGGGCTCCCAGGGCTGGATTCTGTCTGGAGAAGGGCAGGTCACAGCCTCTCTGGGCCTCAGCTCACTTAACAGTACTCTGCGGTAGTGGGCAAGAAGAACAGTGAATGCCAAACCCTGGCTCAGAGCTCCAAGTCCTACTTCTTTTCCCCACGAGGATGAGCCGTGCTTTATATGTCTGACCCGAAAGGGTTCTGTCAGAGATGGGGTTTTAGGGGCTGGAGACATAGGACAGCAGGCAGGGCACTTGCCTTGCATACAGCTGACCTAGGCTTAATTCCTGGCACCCCTATGGTTCCCCTGAGCCCTGCAATGAGTGATCCCTGAGCACAGAGCCAGGAGTAAGCCCTGAGAACGGCCAGGTGTGATTCTAAAAAAAAAAAAGGAGGGGGGAGGGGATGTTTTACTGCATTACAGGGAAGCAGTTGGGCTGGAGATGTAATCCAGGGGTTGAGGAGCTTGTCTTGTATGCAGTGGACACTGGTTTGGTCCCTGGCATCAAATGGTCCTTTGAGCATTGCCAGGTAGGGTCCAAACCACAGCACCCCTCAACTCAAGAAAAATATTTGAAGGTCCAGTTGCTGAATGATCTTCAAATCTACCTTACTCCACCTCCTTTGAGGACAACATTGAAGCTCTAGAGGACCTAGGTCAGCTGGGGTTGGAAGTTGGGGCAAAGAGGAGCTAAAAAAGGACACGTCACTGTTAATAAACCTTGGAATCACAGACTGCTGTTCTCTTGTTCATTTCCGTCTGTTCATTCAGCAGATAGCTATTGAGCCCCTGTTTGGTGCCGGGTGCTGGGGATGCTTTTGAAGAGAGTGGTTGGGGTCCCTGTTTCTATGGTGCATCTACTATAGTTGGAGAACAGAAAACATGAGCTACACAAAGGCAGTGCTGTGGAAAACCTAAACCATAGTGATATGCTGCGTAGTGCTCTGTGGGGGTGGCCTTCAGTTGGGGAAGGGAACAGGAGGCTGAAAATTGAAAAGCTGAACCCCGTGACACAGGATAGACAGATAATACAGTGGATCAGGAGCCTGCCTTTGCGTGTGGCCAACCTGAGTTCAATCCCCAGCATCCCATAGGGTGCCCTGAGCACCTCCAGGAGTGATTCTTGAGTGCAGAGCCAGGAGTAACTCCTGAGCATCTCTGGGTGTGACCCAAATTACAGCAACAAAAAAACCTCACCTGTGAGAACTAGACACTTGAATGCTGAGGGGAGCTCCTAGAGAGGGAAAAAACAGAGGTGGGTTGTGGGGAGCAGCAGTATGAAGACTCTGGGGTGGGAAAGGACTCCCCTGCTGGGACATGGCCAAGGAGCTGAGAGTGGCTGTTACAGTATGATCAACTGGTCGTACCTATGATGCTCACAGGCTATTTCTGGCTCTGTGCTCATAAGTGACCCTGACCATGCTCAGGAGAGCATATCAGGTGGGAACTGAATGAGTATTTGTCCTGTGCAAGCCAGGCGCCTTACCTCTGGTACTAATCTTCCATAACTGAGGAGTCTTTGTTGTTTGTTTTTTGAGCCACAACTGGTAATGCTCAGGGATCATTCCTGGGAGTGCTCAGGGGACCATATGCAGTGTCCATGATTGAATGGGGTCAGCTGTGTGCAAGACAAGCACCTTAACCCCTTATCATCTTCAGCCCAACAGAAAAATTTGGGGGGGGGGTCGCATTCCGCGATGCTCAGGGGTTTGCTCCTGGCTCTGCATTCAGGGATCACTCCTGGCGGTGCTTAAGGGATGGGATGCAGGGGATTGAGCCTGGGTTAGTTGCGTACAAGGCAAATGCCCTACCTTCTGTACTATTGCTCCGGCCCCTGCCAGCAGAAATTTTAAGAAAAAATTGATGAAACCTTATTTTATTTATCTGCTTTTTTTTTCTTTTTTCTTTTTGGGTCACACCTGGTGATGCACAGGGGTTACTCCTGGCTCTGCACTCAGGAGTTACTCCTGGCGGTGCTCAGGGGACGATATGGGATGCTGGGAATCGAACCCGGGTCAGCCGCGTGCAAGGCAAAAGCCCTACCCGCTGTGCTATCTCTCCAGCCCCTCTGCTTATTTTTTCAATTTTTGAGGGGTCACACAATACTTGGCTAAGAGCTCAGGGGACTATGTAGTACCAATATAGGACCCACTTATTTTCTTTCTCTTTTTTGTGGGGTGCACACATAGCAGTGCTCAGAGCTTACTGCTGAATCTGTGCTCAGCGATCATTCCTGGCGGGGCTTGAGGACCATAGGCAGTACTGGGGTTGGTTGGTTTGTTGGGTGCAAGGCAAGCACCTTACCCACGGTATTATCTCTCTAGCCCTTTATTTTATTTTTAAAAAATATTGATCACTTGGGCTGTTTTATGCGTAATGACTTGTTCAGGAGAAGGGAAGAGTGGAAGCAAGGTGACCAGAGAATAGACCAGAAGACCGATAATGTGTGTTTAGATTAGGTTGGTGGTTTTGGAAATTGAAGGAGGAGGATCAATAAGAAAATAGTTTTTAGAAGGTGGACCTAAAGGATTTGCTGATAGATGGAATGTGGGGGCAGGAAAAAGGCCGCATTATTTCTGGATCTCTGACTTTCTTTAGGATGCCGCGTGGTATTACATGTTAGCTGGGGGAAGTGACAGAGAAAGGATGAGGAGCTGGAAAAGTTTGAGGCATCCATTAGACATGCACAGAGAGGTGTCAGTGGGCTATCAGAAACATGAAGCTGGAGTTTTGGGCCACAGATCATTGCTTTTTTCAAATCGGGTGAGGTGATGGGGTTGGGTAAGGGAGCGCAGGTCAAGGGGATTACGCAGGCAGATAACATGGTGCTGGTGGGTCCTGGGGTGCAGAGCCTCAGGGGCAAACCCTGAAGGTGTCAGGGGCTTTCCCGGCCACCAGACTGAGCCACAACTGGTAATGCTCAGGGTGCTATATTGGTACTACATAGTCCCCTGAGCTCTTAGCCTCCCAGTTCACGTTCTCTCTCAGGTAGCACTGAGTTTCCATTGGCAAGGATGTACCTGTCTCCCCATCCAACTGGCTTCTTCCTGGCTCCAGGCGTCCCACACTCCCACTTACGCTGGCTTTTCCAGTTGAGTGGGAATTGGGAAACGGTCTGGGACCAGCCCTGTTTCTCTTCGTCAGACACATCTTCGCTCAGGCATCCAATGACTCAGTTTCCCTGGTCTCAGATTGAGGTCCTCCCCATCATTCGCACAACTACTGGCGATCTGCATATGTAAATGAACGATAAGCGATAATTACGGGCTGAGTCAACAGCTCCCCTAGAAATAGAACCCAGGCGTCTTTGACTATCCCCTACCGCCCAGCGGACGCCGCGTCCAGCCGGCGGCCCAGACCCTCCAGGGGATTCAGGGTAGCGAGGCAGGTTCTAGGGCTCGGCTCCCTCCCAGCGCTCGGCTGCGCTGCGCGGAGCCCGCCCGGGCGTGGGCGGGACCGGTCGGGGCGTGGGGGCGGGGCCTGTCCGTGGGCGGGTCCTCGGAGTGGGCGTGGCTTCCTCGAGTTCCGGAGTCCAGTCGCTTTCCCCGGCCAGAGCGGAGATGCAGCCGCCGCCCAGAAAAGTGAGCTTGGCGTGGGGAATGGGGACTCCTGGACGGTTAGGGGGACTGGTGGGGACCAAGAGGGACACTGGACCCGTGGTGCGGGAGACGAGAAATGAGAGGGGTCGGGACCCAGTCCCGACGTTACCGAGGAAACAGCTTAGCCCCTCCCCGGCTCCGCCCCCTACCGCTCCCTGCGCCGAGTGTTTTTCAGATCTCGGCGCCAGGGTCTTCATCTTCTGACCCGTGCAGGTGAAGCCGGTCCAGGAGGTGAAGCTTCGTTTCCTGGAGCAGTTGAGCGTCCTCCAGACTCGGCAGCAGAAGGAGGCCGATCTCTTGGAAGATATCAGGTAGCCCTCTCCTCCCCCACGGAAGCTACCAACTTCGCTGTTGCCTTTCCCCTGTTCTCCAACGTGATACATCCGGGCCAGGTAAGGGGTGGGGGTTGCGGAGCGCTCCAGCCTGCCCCTTCAAGGTCCCCATCCTAGGTCTGCCTCTCCAGATCTGGAAAGCAGGTAACCCTCCTGAACTCGCATAGACTCTCAGGGACCCTCCCCCCCACCTTGACTCCACAACCACTTCCTGTACCCCCACAGTCAAGCTTAGGGCAGAATCCCCCCTCCGTTTAGCAGACCTGTTGGTCGGCAGGTGGATCCTGTACCCAGCTCCCCATCAGTCCTCACTTCCAAGCCCGCAGATGGTTCTGGGGATGGGGTGGAGGGGGGGAATCCTGCTGAGACCGTGAGTGACGAGGTGGAGAGTTTGTTCAGGGTTGCAGCTGCCGGAGGTGAACTCAGTGAATGACTCCCTCTGTCTCACTCTATCCTCACCCTGGCATCTCTCTTCCTCCTGTCCAGGCTAAGGAGAGGCTGGAGGGAGAACTAACTCGCCCCTCCCACCCTCTCCCCACTCCCAATTTCCACAGATCCTACAGCAAGCAGAGGGCAGCCATTGAACGGGAGTATGGGCAGGTATGGACTCTTTTCTTCTGATCTTCTCTTTTCCTACTGCACTACCAGTAGCATCTTTCTAAACATGTGTCTAGGCAAGAACAGATGCCTTTCGTCTGGCAGATCTGTGTCAAGCCCCCGTGCTAATTAAGCTGTATGTTTTGGACAAGCTCCTTAACCTTTTCTGACTTCAGTTGATTTCTCTATAGAAGGGGAGTGCTAGTGGTAACTTCATCTGGGGTTAATGTAAGAATAGAATAATTTAACGCACGTAAGGCCCCTAGCACAGAGGCTGGCTTCAGTGGATGGCGGTGCTCTACTCTGATCCTGGGTTCTCCCAGTGGGGAATAGTCTTTGAAAGGGAATCTGCTCTGGCCTGGAGAGGTTGCTCAGGTGTGCTGATCAGAGGCTTTGCATGCTGGACGCCTGGGTTCAGTCCTCTGCACTGCATGGTGCCCTGTGCAGTAAGCACCCCGAGTAGCTCCTGACCACTGCCAAGTGTGACCATCCTCCCCCGCCTTCCAAAAGAGTCACTTGGTATGTCATGATTTTCACTAGGCCCTCCAGAAATTGGCAGGACCATTTCTGAAGAGAGAAGTGCACCGGAGCGGGGAGGTGGACACCAGGTGAGCGCCACCCCCACCCCGAGGAGGGATCAGGAGGCTGAGCAGGGGTGAGGAGTTCAGGCCAGCTCGTGAGCTGCAGGTAGAGCTGACACAGCAGCTAAGGAGCTGACCCCACAAGGACACTGGTGGGGGGCAGAGGGCAGGAGCGATGCTTGTGGCTAAGCTAATGGGCTGATCGATTGATGGGCTCCCAGACGCCAGGGGGGATGGGAAGGCGCTCTGTCTCTCTGAGGTTGGGCTGGGGGTGGGGGCGCCGGCTTCCCAGGGCTCCCCTCCTCAACACTGCCTTTCTCTGGGGAGAGGCAGGACGGTGTTTGGTGCCTGGCGCTGCCTGCTGGATGCCACCCTTGCTGGGGGCCTCGCCCGGCTGCAGGTGTCGGACAGATACCGTGACCTGGCAGGGCGAAGTGCCAGGGAGCAAGTCCTGAGGAAGGTATGGCTCAGGGTGGGGGTGGGGGTGAAGGAAAGGCCTGAGGGGGTTCCAGGTGCTCTGGGTCAGTCTGTGTGTGTGTCCCTGCTCCTAGGGAGTGGACACGCTCCAGAGGGCCCAGACTGAGGTGCTGCAGTCTGTCCGGGAGCTGAGCCGGAGCCGGAAGCTGTATGGGCAGCGGGAACGCCTCTGGGCTGTGGCCCAGGAAAAAGCGGCTGATGTCCACACCAGGTGGGGTGATGAGTTGCTAGGAAGCCAGGGTGAGGGGTGGAGAGAAAGTGTTAGGTACAGTGGGACCTGACCTCACACCTTTTCCATACAGGCTGATGCGCAGCGACCACGGACTCTTCCACACAAGGTCCAGCCTCCAGAAACTCAGCACCAAGGTGTGGGGGCCGGGAAGAGGCGGGCAGAGTAGTCCAGTGGTTTGGAACCCAGGGGTGTAAGTCTGAGACACTGGCTTGAGTCAGGCTCCCATCACTTTCAGGTGGGTGACCCTGGTTAATTTGATCTCCCTGAGCCTCAGTTTCTTCATTCATAAAACAAAGGCAGCAACATTGTTTTTTTTTTATTCACTAATATATGTTTTTTTGTTGGTTTTTTGGCCACACCCAGCACTGCTTCGGGGTTACTCTTGGCTCTGCTCTCAGAATTACCCCTGGCAGTGCTTGGGGGACCATATGGCATGCCAGAGATCGAACCTGGGTTGACCGCATGCATCTTTTGAGGACGTTTAGGTACCAGGCACTGTTTTAAGTACTGAGGGTACAAGGAAGGAGTTGCTACTCTCACAGCCTGCTTGGGGAGATACAGTAAACCCTCAGATTAAAGGAAACCCTCAGATTAAAGCCAGGTGGTCTGATAAGGGGTAGTGGGGATGTTATTTAGCGGGAAAGCCTCTCTGAATATATGGTCCGAGTGTCACAGAGGCATCGCCTTGCAGAGATCTAGGCCAAGGACATTTCATAGAGCATGGAGGCTCTGTGACAGGAATCACTCTGCAGACTCTGGAGAAAGGAAGAAGGCCATTGTGGCGCGCACACCCTGAGCAAGGGGACAAGCCCTGCAAGGACACCAGAGCAGCAGTGGGGGCCAGCTCGCACTGCGCCTGGTAGACTGTGAGGAGGGCAGTTGTGGTTATACTTTGAATGCATGAAGACACCCCTTGAGGGTTTTGAGTAGGAATTCTGGGAAAATTTTAGCATCAAGCCCCGAGTCTGAGAACCCACCTACGCTGGCTCTGGGTTACCTTTACCTGAGCGCACCCCCAAGGGTTTGGGGCTCCCTGTTAACACCTCTGTTCCTCTCCTAGCTGTCAGCCCAGTCGACCCAGTACTCCCAGCAGCTGCGAGAGGCCCGCAATGAGTACCTACTCAACGTGGAGGCCACTGGTGCCCACCTGGACCATTACTACCAGGAGGAGCTGCCAGCCCTGCTCAAGGCCAGTTCCGGCCCAGATGCCCTGGCCTAGGGGTGGGGTGTGGATGGGGGGCAGTGTAGGGAGCTTCCTGTGCTTCCCAGCTCCATCAGACTGTGCAGGGCTGGGAGCCTGGTCCGGCCTGCTGGATGACACGGAAGATTCCTCCTAAGGTTCTGTTTCTGGTTCTTTTGTTGTTGTTGTTGTGAGGGGTCAAACCTGGCAGTGTTCAGGCCTTGCTCCTGGCTCAGCACTCAAGGGGCCGTATGGGATGCTGGGATTGAACCCCAATTGGTGGTGTGCAAGGCAAACGCCCTACTGCTGTACTATCACTCCGGCCCCCGTCCACTGCTGGTTCTGCTTCTGCTTCTGGCTGACAGGCTGCGGGACACTTAACCCTTCTGAACCCCAGTTTTCTGATCAGCAGTAACCTCTGCTCTGCAGACTTTTTGAGACTAATGGGTCTCAAGAGAATGAATGTGAAAATGCTTTTAAACAGTTAAGTGCTGTGTATGCATGGGGGCCTGTTGCCTGAAACTGTACTAGTGTCTGACTCGACCGCTGTTTTCCACACTCCTGCCCATCACCCACCCATGCCCCGGCGGGGAGGGTGGTGTGAGCTTCTGGCCTTCTCTCCAGGACCTGTTTAGAGAGCTGTTGGACCGCTTGAAGGATCCTCTGACCTTACTGAGCCACATTGAGCTGGAAGCTGCAGAGGGGGCCTTGGAGCATGCGCGTAGTGGGGGCCAGGCCATTGCTCAGGTGAGGGCTGTGCCCCAGAAGAGTTCCCTAGAGATCCTCTGTCCTCTCTCCACACAGACCAACCCACTGATGTCTGTCCTACCTCTCATCTTCTTAAGTTTCAGTTTTGGGGGCCACTCCTGACAGTGCTCCAGAGCATTTCCCAACTCACTGCTTCAGGGTCACTCTAGGTGCAACCTAGGGGACCATGGGCTGGTGATTGGACCCGGGGCTCCCACATGCAGAGTGTGCGCTCCAGCCCTTTCAGCACTGTCCGCCCTCACCCTGGCCTTCTTACCCTGTCCTCTTCCTCCCTAGAGGGTGAGGGGACCGGTGAATCCCACCTTTGCCCTCCCCTCCCCACAGATAAGCTGGGAGCATGAGCTGCTGCGCTTTCTCCAGGAGCCGGGAGCCTTCTCCCGCCCTCTGCCTCAGCAGTTTCAGCCTGCAGGGACAGATCAGGTGAGCCCGAGCCTTTGGAACCCGAGCAGGGGCAAGGCCGCTGTGCCCTAGGCACTTCTCTCCTTCTCCTTGTCCTGGTGTTACCATAGCAGTTCAGAAGCCACAGAGAGAGGGTTCGGGAACTCAGGCTTCACACGTCAGCAACCTCCCTTCTGCCTTCCCCTGCCTTCCTGGCCCTGTGCTTTTCACCCCACCTGGATGTGTCTGCAGTGATGCATAGGCGTGCCTGTACCCCACCCCTTGGTTCTTGTTCCTGGGGGTGGAGACAGAGAAATAACTTGCCATAAACACAGTTTGGGCTAGAGCGATAGCACAGTGGGCAGGGCATTTGCCTTGCATGGAGCTGACATGGCCGACCCTAGTTCGATTCCTCTGCCTCTCTCAGCGAGCCCGGCAAGCTACTGAGAGTATCTCACCCGCACGGCAAAGCCTGGCAAGCTACCCGTGATGTATTTGATACGCCAAAACACAGTAACAAATCTCACAATGTTACTGGGCGCACTCGAGCAAATCGATGAACAACGGGAGGACAGTGACAGTGACAGAGACAGGTTGTTGGGGGGGGGCAAGAGGGAGGGAAACTGGGGACATTGGTGGTGGGAAATGGACACAGGTGGAGGGATGGGTGTTGGAACATTGTATGACTGAAATCCAATCACGAACAGCCCTCTAACTGTATCTCACAGTGATTCAATGAAAAAAAATTAATAATTTTTAAAAAGGTGGGACCCCAAGGGAACGGAGACATGCAGGAGCAGCATTGAGCCCTTCTCACGCCTCCCCTGCCCTCCCCCACTCTACACCATCCAGGTGTGTGACCTGGAACTGGAAAAGAGCGAAGACGGCATGATAGGGGACAGCACCCTAGAGAAAGAGATCCAGCGCTTGACAAACCGAGCTGCCCGTGACTATAAGATCCGGAGCCATGGGTGTCGGGTGAGTGGGGGTGCAGGGGTGCGCAAGGGGAGCTGAGGGTCCACAGTTGTCAGCACTGTGTGTGGCTACAGGCAGCAGGGGAGAGGCCGTTCCAAGTTGACCACAAGTCATTAGAACACTTTCATTGTTGTTTTGTTTTTGGATTATTTTTTGGTTCTGGAGCCACAACCCAGTTGTGCTCAGGGCTTCCCCTGGTTCTGTGTTCAAGCATCACTCCTGGACCATGTGGGGTTCCAGGCATTAAACCCCGCTTGGCTGTACATGAGGCATGCATCTTGCCTGCTTGACTGTCTCTCCAGGTTCTAGAACACTCCCTTTGGAGCTGCACCCATGTGGGTTTGAACGCTGTCCTTTTGCTGTCTTGTTCTGGAACCTGAGGGCGGTAGTGACTACCTCTCTCTGAGTCTTCCCCTTTGAAAGTCTTCCCCTGCATCGGGAAGAGTAGATGACCTAATGCCTGTAGGCGGCGAGCATGGGGCCAGGGCCCTCGTGAGCTGCACCCCTCACCGCTCCCCCCTCCCCACCCCGCCCTGTCCTGTCGTCCCACCTAGGTGTTGCAGCGGTTGGAGCAGAGGCAGCAGCAGGCGTCAGAGCGGGAGGCTCTGGGCCTAGAGCAGCGGCTGCAGGAAGTGAAGGAGAGCATCCGGCGGGTGCGGGTGAGGGGTGCTGGGCCGCTGAGAGCTCCCCTGGGCCGCCGAGAGCTTCCCTGGGCGGCTGCAGCCTCTCTGGGCTTCTGCTGTCTGACGGGCTGGAGTGGGAGGCAGGAGGTGGCATCTTTCTTCTGGAAAGGGTGGTGGGTCCACACCCTGGGGTACTCAGGGGCTATTCCTGGCCTTGTGCTTGTGAGTGACCCCTGGAAGTGATCAGGGACCATGCAAGGTACCGGGGATCCATCTGGGACCAGCTACATGCAAGACAAGTGCCTTAAGCTCTCTCCTGTGTCTTTGGCAGCTGGGTAGATACACTGGGGGAAGTTCTGTTAGCTGCAGAGGCAGGCCCCGCTGCTGCTCCGGTTGATGGGTCCTTCTGCCCCGTGCCAGGTGAGCCAGGTGAAGGGGGCAGCCCGGCTGTCCCTGCTGCAAAGTGCCGGCTTGGATGTGCAACGGTGGCTGAAGCCTGCCATGACCCAGGCCCAGGAAGAGATGGAGCAGGAGCGGCGACTCAGTGAAGCCCGCCTGTCCCAGAGGGACCTCTCTCCCACGGTCAGCTCCCATGCCCGCTACCCACGCATAGCCAGGGGGTAAATGCCCGCTGGAGCCCAGAGCTTCTGTGGATTATAAATGAACTCTGAGAGTCATTGTGAGGCTTCTGTGAAATTATGTCAATATAATTCTGTGCATAGTTTCGAGCACAGAGCATCCTCAGCCAAGTTTTATGAGTCTTGGTGGTTGCGAGGCTGAGGCATAAGCAGTTCCATTTGCAGTCACTCCATTCACTACAGTTGTGATCTGGACGTTTTTCCCCCTTTGGTCACAGCTGGTGATGCTCAGGCCTTAGTCCTGGCTCTGTCCTCAGGAATTACTCCTGGCGATGCTTGGAGGCCTATACGGGATGGTGTGGATTGAACCCCGGCCAGCCGTGTGCAAAGCAAGCACCTTACCTACTGTGCTCTCTCTCCAGCCCCAACTTCTGGTGGGATAGTTAACCTTTCTGAGCCTCGTTTCCAAGTTAACCAAGATGAGGTTGATCGTTATGCAGGACCACTCTGGGTTTTGAGGGAGATGAAACGAGATGAAACGAGACGACAGACATAAGATTCCCAGCTTGGTGCGTGGCACATGGGCAGGGCTCAGTCCTGCCATTCTGGGTTGTTGTCGGTTTTATCCTGCTTGTGCCAATCCTGCTGCATGGTGAACCTTGGTGTTCTGGATGGTTACGATGGAGGCATGGGAGACACGAGCGGTACCTGAGTGCTGACCCCACCCCCCCCAGGCTGAGGATGCTGAACTCTCCGACTTTGAGGAATGTGAGGAGACCGGGGAGCTCTTTGAGGAGCCCCCGCCGCCGACCCTGGTCACCAGGCCCCTTCCCTGCTCTGCACATGTGGTGTTTGGCTATCAGGTGTGAGTGGTTGTGGGGAAGTTTGGAGGGGCAGGCATGGGGGACGGCCAGGTCCTCAGTCCTTCCTTGTGTGGTTTAGGCTGGGAATGAGGACGAGCTGAGCATCTCGGAGGGCGAGTGGCTGGAGGTGATCGAGGAGGGAGATGCCGATGAGTGGGTCAAGGTGGGTGCGAGCCCAGGCTCTGACAGGGTGGAAGGGCAGCGGGAGGGAAGTGGCTCCGTCTCTGTTTTTGCACGGACCCAGCTGGGCCAAGCTGGAAGCCTGGGAGGAGGCACGCCTAGCTGTGGGCTGGTGCGGCAGGTCTGCTCTCTGTTCACACGGCTGCTATGCAGGCGCGGAATCGGCATGGACAGGTGGGCTTTGTCCCCGAGCGCTATCTCAATTTCCCAGACGTCTCCTTGTCTGAGGTCAGCCAGCATAGTGACTACTGCGCAGAGCAAGAGCGCCCAGGTAACGAGGGGGGAGTCCCGTGTGTGAAGAGTGACAGTGATGGAGGGGGCTGTGGGTGTCATGGTCCTGGGGTCCCAGCCCACCCCCCTCCCCCGGACCTCTGCAGTGTTCCTGGCCCGCGCCCTGTACACCTACAAGGCACAGAGTGTGGAGGAGCTGAGCTTCCCCGAGGGGGCTTTCATCCGCCTGCTACCCCGGACCCACGATGGAGTGGACGATGGCTTCTGGAGGGGAGAGTTTGGGGGCCGTGTTGGGGTCTTCCCCTCCCTGCTGGTGGAGGAGCTGCTGGGCTCCGTAGCACCACCTGAGCACTCAGATTCTGAAGAGGTGAGTCCCTCCCACCCCGTAGGACCCCATATATATAATTTTTTTGTGTGTGTGTGCTGGGGAGTGAATGGGCAAGACAGGTGTTCTACCCCTGAGTTACACCCCCTCCCTGTCCAGACTGACATCCTCTAGTGCCTTAGGCTAGTCCCTCTTCCTTGGCTGTGCAAAGAGGGAAACCAAGGCATCTTTCTAAGAATTCTGTGGTCCCTACTTGAGTGCTCGGTTGATCTGTATTTTGATTTCTGTCATGTCACCTGGGGCAGGGACCTGACCTTACTGAGCTTGTTTTGTTTTAAAATCATCACAGTGGTGCCTACTCTGAGGGCTCGGGCTCATTGTTTCTCAGGTTGGGCTCTACTGAGGCCAAGGCCCTGAGCACAGGCGCCCCCTGGAGGCGCTCTGCTAGAATGCAGGGCTCTTGTTCCAACACAGCAGAGGGGTAGGTGCCAGGGTTTTGCAGGTAGGTGCCAGTGGTTCCATGCTTTCCAGAGAGATAACCCGCATCTCACCTCAACAGAGGACTTGTGAGAATCCCACCCTCAGCGGGACTGAGCACAGGTGGAGGCTGGCTGAATGCCTGGCATATAGCATCGATACCCGCAGGCTGACACACACACAGCCCCTACTAATGTTGTTGGTACAAGCTGCTGAAATGCGGGTCAGTTCCAGCCCCCATTTGGGGGCATTCTGCGTTAAGGAGTGATGGATGGGGATCTAGGACAGGTTGAGAGGCAAAGCTGATGAAACCTTCCATGTACCAAGAATAATGTTGTGCCCCTCCCCCATCCCTAGATGCTGCCATCCCCTTCTCCTCCCAGCTTCTCCCCACCTGCACCCACCTCTGCCTCAGATGGGCCCCTTGCACCTGTCCTGCCTGGGGGTGAGTAGAGTGTACTGGGGGCGCTGCAGGGGGAAAAACCAGGAAAGAGGAGGAAGCTTTGTCGTTCCGGGTGCCGAGCCCTGCACGCCTTCCCATCAGACTCACTGAGGCAGGGTGAGAGAACACGGACTTGGCGCCAGGCACCCCGTTCACACCCTGCTCTGTGGCTTCCTAGGGTGAAATTTTATTTTATTTTTTAAATTTCGGGGTTTTGGGGGCCACACCCAGCACGGCTCAGGAATTACCCTTGCCAGTGCTCAGTGGACTGTATGCAGGGCCAAGGATTGAACCCAGGTTGGCAGGGTGTAGAGACAAGTGCTTAACCTTTGTACTATCCCTTAGTCCCCCTAATGTGAGATTGGGGTGGGATGTTTCACCTGACCTGATGGGGCCTTTTGAGGTAAGAAGAAAGGTCCTTGGGGTTAAAGAGATGGCTCAACCAGAAGGCTTGCAAGCAGGGTGTCTGCACTCTTCCTTCTCGTTATTCTGTGAAGGGGTAGCCAGCTTCTGTCCAGATACGCTCCCTCTGCTCTTGGTGCCCCTGAATCCTGCCAATACCTGGCTCTGTACTGTCAGTTTTTCCGAGACCTTCAGTAGCGGGATTCTCTTCAGAGTCTCCCTCTCTGGCCCAGGGGCTGCCTGTGAGCAGTTTATGCACCCACCTTCTCCAGAACCCATAATTCACTTAGAATGATTTGGCACCAGCTGATTTATTGTTTGTATTTCATTTTGGGATTCTTAGCAATGGATATGGATTCTCCCCCCCCCCCCCCCCCAATTCCTGGATTCTTGGACAGGGCTGATTATATAGCAGTTGCCCAGTAAGTGTTGTGGAGGATGACTTTTTTTTTGGGGGGAGGGGGGGACTTTAAGCCACACCCAGCATTGTTCAGGGTTTACTCCTGCCTGTGCTCAAGGATCACTCCTAGCGATGCTCTGGAGGGCCACATGCAGCGCTGGGGATTGAACAGGGGGTTGGCTATGTGAAAGGCAAGCACCTTAAGTCCAGTTCTACCTCTCCAGCCTAGCAATGAGTGGATTTTGTGGCCCAAGTTGGTGCCTGTTAATTCAGCAAGTACCTGCAGAGCGTCACTCTCAGTGCTGGGCACAGAGCAGTGAATGGAGAAAAGTCTGAAGACTGACTTGTGGTTCTCACTTTCAGATCAAGATCTGGACTGTCCTGAACCCCTAAACACGATGGTGCCTCGACTCAGGCCGGTGAGGGCCCTTCCCTGAAGATGCTCTGGAGAGGGATCATTGGGGTGGAGGTGGGGAGAGGGAATGACAGGGACACCCCCCCAGGGAGGCCACCTGAGCACTGTGTATTCTAGGTGCGTCCACCACCTCCCCCACCAGCCAAAGCCCCAGATCCTGGCCACCTGGATTCCCTCACCTGAAGCTCAGGGGGCATCTGTGCCCCCCACCCCCACAGTGATGCTGCTTCCCTGACTCCATGACGTCAGAGTGACACAGCCCAAGGCTGGGCTCCACCATCTCTACTCTTACCTACGGAGTAGCTTCCTCTCTCCCCATGTCTGGCACCCACTCTTCCCGCTCGGTCCTCCTCCTGCGTGCCTTTCTGTCTACTACCCCCTCCCACCCCCGTCTCCAGGGTGATGAAACACTTTGAACTCCTGAACTGCCTGGGGCTCCAACTCATCCCCCAAAGCCTGGTGTGGGTGGCTCTGGCCCATCTGTGTGTCTCCACCTGGCCGTGACTGCCCACTCCAGAGGCCAGGGTCACTACCCGTGGGGCCTAGGACAAGGGTGGGCCTGTTAGAAGGATCTGGAGCCAGTATGCAAAGCAGCTGTAATGGTCTGAGCGGATTTATTGACAGTAAATAAAGGGCAGGAAGTCCAAGCCAGGGCCTGGGCCTCTTGTGCCGTGAGGGGGTGGGATTCGGGGGGCGGGGGAGGCTAAGGTGCTATTGCTTTAGGGGCCCACCTCAGGCAGGGGCCTGCTCCCAGCTGCCACCCTTTAGCATATGGAGCGAGTGACAGAGCGGCAGGTCAGGCAGCCTGTTGGCGGGCAGGGCATGGGGAGGTGATGGAGGGGCTAGGATGGGGGGACTTCTCCAGACGTCCCCCAGCCCGAGACCGTGCATCTCCAGGTGGTTGTAGGGCTGGTCCCTCAGCCGGGGGGCAGTGCTGTCCATGGAGAGGAGGGGCTCCATGCCCACCCACCCGGCCCTGCCGGCTGGTACCCATCACTCAGTGCACTGAAGGAAGAGGCTTGGAGGAGAGGAAGGAGAACAGGGTTGCCTTCTGTTCAAGCTGTGTCCCCGCTTTCCCTGTAGGCGCAGGGCCTTGAGCGCCACCCCCCTTCCCTGGAGCCCACGCCCACTCCCCAGGACTGAGGAGTCTGCAGGAAAGGCCAGGCCTGCACTCTGGCGGCTGCTGCGTTTAGTTAGCTCGGGAACAGGGCGGGGGCAGTAGAGGGGGCAATGGTTGGACTTGGGGCCCAGGCAGACTCACCTCACACATCGCCTGCTCCCCGAGGTGGGGGCACCTGCGAGAAAGGAGGGGTCACCTGTGAGAAAGGAGGGGTCGTGTAGGTGCCCCCCAGAGTTGGGGGCAGTCAGAGCTGAGCCCACCACAGCCCTCTGTGGCCCTGCCCCTGGCTTCATACCTGCTGATCTGAGGCGTCCACTTTGCTCTGTTGTCTACCTGCCTCTGGACTGGCCAGCCCTGGGCTTGGGTCCCTCCTTCTGGACCTTGGGGTTGGCTCCGTAGGGGGTCCAGGGTTCCCCTCAAGTGCACCAGGGACTAGGCCGCTGTCCCTAAGTCCTCCATTCTGCACTGGGGGGCTGGCAGGCATCTGGGACTGTGGCCTCTCCGGGGACAGGCTCTCCATGGCAGGTTGCCCGGCCCCCAGGCATCCCCCAGGCTCCTGCCCCCCGCTGGACCCCCAGCTCCTGTCCGTGGGGGAGCCATCACGGTGTTCGTGCAGCCCGGAGCGTTTCTCAATGTGTGTCACCCGGAACCTGGGGGAGGAGGGCACGGGCTCAGGGCTGCACCACAGGCTGTGCTGCCTTCCCTCCTGCTGGGGAATCCTGTTTGAGGTAGCTCGGAAGAGGAGAAGCAGGCTCCCATCTCGGCTGCCCTGTCCCTGGGGCACCTTCCCTACCTGCCCACAGAGAACACGGTGGTCTCCCCCGGCCGCGGCCGGCTCTTCCCGTCCTTGGAGCGGCCCTGACGGACGAGAGGCGGCCTCTTGTTACGACTACAGTGGATGCAGGGGGCTGCTGAGCCCAGGTGCACGGTGTGGTGGTGGGAGGGGGCACCGTCCTGCAGGCTGGAGGTGGCATCCACGCTGGACACGGAGGAGGAAGAGGGTGGCGCTGACATCCCCATTTCTGCTCCTGTTTTTCGCAGATATCCCTACACCCATCATCGCCCAGGCCCCACCCCCTTTTTTTTTTCCTTTAATAAACTTGATACTAAGACGTGGGTGGCCAGTGTTCTCTCTTCCAGGCTGTTCACTTAACGAAAGGTGACGTTTAACCCAGAGGAGTGGCACAGTGTTGTCAGGCCAGATGATATTCAGATGGAAGAAAGCGTTTGAAGGGTCAACTCTGGATCCCTCTGTAATAGTCCCCTGTGGCTTCCAGCCTTGGCCTCCACCCCAGCCCGAGCATGCAAGACTGGGAGAAGTTTGTGCTGGAGGAGAGGGTACTCTCCGAGGCAAGCTAGGTCATGCTGGCCCTGCTTCCAGCTCACCTGGACAGCTGCACTGTCCCTTCTCCTTCACTGTCCCCCAGCATCTCCTTCAAGGCCTCAGCATTGGCTGAGGGGAGAAGGAAGAGAGGGAGTCAGTGGAGGTAGCGGTCAGAGCAGGGAACTTGAGGGCAGAGGGAGCCAGAGGCCAGTCTATACCCACCTTCATTTTGGATGATGCAGCGAACAATCCTCTCTACTGTGTCCTCATTCATGTCATCGTCCTCAGCTGGGGGAAGAAAGAGGTTGGCAAGGAAGTGGGAAATGAGTCAGCTTTGGGAGGATATATATTGGTGGCTTCGGTGGCTTACTGTTCTAGATATACCCTTAACACGTAATTGCCGTCATGCTGGTTGTTCATCGTATTGGTGGTGGTGGTGGTGGGGTTGTTGCAGGGCAGAAAAAAATGGGGAAGAATGTGGAAACGTAAGATTACCACCTATGGGCCCTTTGTAGCCCAGTTTTTTCAGCCTTGCTTTCAGAGCCCATTTGCGGGTTCAAGGAAGCATCATTGGGCCTCCTGGAACTCTGGTCAGGCTTTAGCCTGGGTCTGCTGGCCAGGAAGGCAGGCTGAGGTGGAGCACGAGAGAGAAGGGGCACGGGCAGGTTTCGAGGCTGTGCACTCACAGGGTTGGAGCTGGGCGTCGTCGGGCTCCGAGCCCCGGGACGTGCGGCAGCGGTAACCCTTCTTCTTGAGCACGTGGCAGATCATGAAGCCCACGAGGCCCATGAGGAAGAAGACCAGCACAAGCAGGAACAGCATGTACAGCCCATGCTGGGGCGGCTCCAGGTCAGGCTGTGGTTCCGACATGAGGCCCTGGGGGGCGAGCGCGGGCCAGGGCGCCTCCTGGAGTTAGGGGGCTGCAGCTAGGGATGGGGGAGGGCGAGGAATGCAGTGCTCAAAATCCCAACTGGCCCACCCGGGAGATCCCGCGCCACCCCCTACCCAACCGGGGAGCTGTCCGAGTCAGGGGTGCTGGTCGGGGCCAGCGAGGCTAGACGGCGGCTGCCCAAGGACCCTGCTCCCTCTGCCCCGACGTCCAGAGCTCTCCCTCTTCCCGGCTGGTTCTGCGCCCAGGTCCCTCCCAAGGACACTGCAGCGCGAGGTGGGACGGAACCCGCAGGCGGCCGGAGAAAGAAACGCGCCTGAGTCAGCGTCCGCAGCTCCGGGGCGCCGGCCTGGGCCGGGCCTCGGCAGCCCCCTCCCCTGCCGGGACTCCCGCACCCCTGCTCTCCCCTCCTCCCGTCCGACCACCTGGCCCACCCGGTACCGGTGGTTCGGTTCCGGCTCCGGCTCCGGCTCGGGTTCTGGCTTCAGGGGCGTCCTAGTGCGGCTCAGGGCCCCCGACGCCTTCCCGGTGCTCATCCCTTGCCTCCTCCCCCTCCCCCCTTCACTGCCTCCCGGGCTCCGGGCTGCGGCTGCGGGTACCCGGGCCGCGGCCGGCGAGGAGGGGGAGGGAAGGATGGAGAGGGCCGGAGGGCTCGATGGGCACGGCCGCAGGCTCGGGGCAGCTCCGGCCCCGGGGAAGGGGAGGAGACGAGGGGCGCCGCCGCAGCCGCCCGGGGCTCCCTCAACGCCGTGGCGGGCCGGGGATCAAGGGGCGGAGCGCAGGTGTGCGGGGCGGAGAGCGAGAGCCGCGCGCGCGTGACCGCGCCACCCGCAGCCCGGCGAGTGCGCGGCTCCGAGTCCGGGTCCGAGTCGGGGGAGGCCCGGCAGTCACGCCGCGACCTTAGCCGGCTCGCCTAGCGCCGTGCCCGCGCTCCGAGGCCTCGGCCGGGCGGACAACCCGAACGCTTCTCAGGCGGCCGGGGGAAGCTGGCTTCCTGCACCCGAGCGGGGAGGCGTGGCTGATCCTCCGGAGCCTCCTCGAGAGGGAACCCCGGCCTGCTCCGCGTTTGGGGCGGACGGCTGAACGGGCTGGCTCAGCTTCCCGAGGATTTGGCCCCCGCGCGTAAGGAACAGGGCCTGGCATCCTAGGACCCACGCTGCCAGCCCTCTGTCCGAGCCCAGACGCTCACGTCCCGAAAGGTCCGAGCGGCGCGGGGCGGAGGCGGCCCGCAGAGGGCGTGGCCTGAGCGTAGTCTGGGCGTGGCCTGAGCGCGACCAGGGCGTGGCCTGAGCGAGGCCGGAGCATGGCTTGGGCGTGGCCTGAGTGCGACTGGGGCGTGGCCTGGGCCCCGATTCCGCAGAGGCCCGGTACGTGCTGACGTAGCACGCACGGCTGGGAGTGGGGCGGGTGGCCGGGCGGGCGGCGGAGGCACGGGGCCTGCTCCCGCCGGCACCATGGCCAAGACCGTGGCCTATTTCTACGATCCAGACGTGGGCAATTTCCACTACGGTGAGGAAACGGGGCTTCCCGCGAAAGGTTTGGGGACGCTGAAGTTGCAGAACGCGGAGGTTTCCAGGCGGGGGGCTACCACGCCAGGCGTGGGAACTGACGGACTCTCTTCTCCCACCCACAGGGGCCGGGCACCCCATGAAGCCCCATCGCTTGGCATTGACCCATAGTTTGGTGTTGCACTACGGGCTCTATAAGAAGATGATCGTGAGTCCCGGCGTCTTTACTGAGAATAGAGGGTGGAAGCAAGCTGCGGCCTTAGGGCTGGGTAGCCAGCACGGAATGCAACAGTGACCAGCCCCTGGAGTGGGGGAGGATAGATGGAAAGAATTAGAAGCACACCACACAGGCTAGTGTTGGTGAGAGCGTCCACAGACTTAATTTTCACCTGAGGACAGCCACTGGTCCGTAGGTGGACCAGCCGTTGACCTAGAGTTAGATGCAGGTTTTCCTCTGCATCTCTGAGTTCAGTGAAGACTCCGCAGCTCTGTGTGTACTGTATGTGTGTGCATGGGAAAGCAGGAACTGTCCCTGGTATTCCCTTTTCAGCCTAGATCACCTCTGTACATTTTTTTTCTTAGTACCTCCCCAGCCCTCCTCTCCCTCTTACACTCCTGTGGTCTGTCAGTAGTCCCCAGCTTGGACTCTGTCTGTCGTTGTCGTGTGTGATTATAACAGTGAAGCTTAGCCCTTACCTGTTGCAGTAGGAATCATCGACCACTGCTTGTGCTCAGGTGAATGATAGTAGAAAAGTAGAGTGAATGGGTAATAAAAAAAATGAAGGTGAGAAAAGTGCATGAATCTGTGAATCTCTGAAAATTGTTTCTTGGTGTGTAACTATGTGCCTTTCTTGGGGAGAAAAAAGCTTCATGTTCTTGTCTAAATTTTAGGTAAGTGTGTGAACCCCTTAAAAGTAACCCTAACCCAACTCTTGTTTATTACTTTGAAATCAGTCATTCTTTCTTTTTTTTTTTTTTTGGCATTTTGGGTCACACTCGGTGATGCACAGGGGTTACTCCTGGCTCTGCACTCAGGAATTATTCCTGGCAGTGCTCAGGGGACCATATGGGATGCTGGGAATCGAACCCGGGTTAGCCGCATGCAAGGCAAATGCCCTACCCACTGTGCTATCATTGCTCCAGCCCGCCTTTCTCTCTCTCTCTCTCTCTCTCTCTCTCTCTCTCTCTCTCTCTCCCTCTCTCTCTTCCTTCCTTCTGTTCCCCTCCTCTGCAATGTTCAGGGTCCTGGGGCCACTCCCAGGGTACTTGGCCTGGAGATGTGAGCCTGATTGTGATTCACTGATCATGCTGGGGACTACCAGGGCTGCACTCTATGCTGTTGGGGGTACAGGAGGGACCATGCAGCAACAGGGATCTAACTTGGTGCCTTGCGCATATAAGACATGAGCACCAGCCCTTTGCACTTTGGGTTTGAATTAAAATGTTGTCATTCAGAATTCTCCAAGAGAAGAACTCAGAAGGGGACAGAGAGGGCCTGGGGAAGAGAGAATGAGAAAGGAGAGAATCAGGAGCTCAGAGACAGAGCAGGTGGATCAGGCTTCAGAGTTGAGAATTAGAAGGGCTGGTCTGGTGATGGGAAGGTGACAGACTCAGTGGTCTTTGGGGATTTGGTCACGCTAGCTCTCTGGAAAATTGAGCCACTTTTCACTGCCTTCTGCCTCACAGGAAAACATGGTTTGAAAGGTGAGGGTTTGCATAAATGATTTGGTGAAAGAGAGGAGTGAAGTGTGGTGGTCTTAGCCCCCTAAGCGGGACTGGCACTGCCTGGGTTCATCTTGTGTTTCCATCTCAAGGTCTTCAAGCCATACCAGGCTTCTCAGCATGACATGTGCCGCTTCCACTCCGAGGACTACATCGACTTCCTGCAGAGAGTCAGCCCCACCAATATGCAAGGTTTCACCAAGAGCCTCAATGCCTTCAACGTGGGCGATGACTGGTGAGGGAGTCTGGGGCTTGTGATTCTGGCATGTGGGGATATCTGAAGGCCTTCTCGTGGCAGCATGGGATGATAGAACATGGAGACCCATTTGTCGTTTACTCTGGTTACTCAACAGATACTTATTGTTCATCATCTCTTTAGGCCAGGTCCTGTGCAGAATGCTGGGGATGCAGTGATAAACAGTAATCCTACAACCTTTTTTTTTTTTTTTTTTTTTGCATTTTGGGTCATACCCGGCAATGCACAGGGGTTACTCCTGGCTCATGCACTTAGGAATTACTCTTGGCAGTGCTTGGGGGACCATATGGGATGCTGGGTATCGAACCCTGGTTGGCCGCGTGCAAGGCAAACGCCCTACCTGCTGTACTATCACTCCAGCCCCAATAAACATATTTTTGTTTTTGTTTTTGAGCCTCACCCAGCACTGCTTAGGGCTTACTCCTAGCTCTGTGCTCAGGATCGCTTCTGGGAGGGAATGTTCAGGGGACCCAAGGCAGTTCTGGAGATTAAACTTGGGGGGGCTTTATGCAGGAAGCAAGTACCTTAACTCCTATACTAGTTCTCCAGCTCCAAATTACCCAATCTTATTTATTTACTTATTTAAATTTTTCCTCTCTGGGGATACAGACAAGGATGCCCTTAATTCAGGGATTGAGTGCAGAGCCTTGTATTTGTCCTGGGTGCTTCCTGAACCACTGAGCCTTTGATCAGAGCTGTCAGGACGGTCTCAGTGCTTGCAGGCATGACCCCAGGGTTTGAACTCCCAGCCTCTCATGGGAATCAGCAGCCATACTGTCATCAGCTCAGCATATATGGACGTGACACAGTGGTTTGAACTCAGTGAGTTCTTTAGGCCACTGAGCCTCTTTCTGGTCCCAAACCCTCAATTTGAATATTCTAATCATGCACAATCCTGGTGAAAGAGAGAGCCAAGTCTAACAATGAGGGATCTGTGGGGGAGAATGATCTCCTGGGGAGTGGACTGATCTGTGGGGGCTTCCTAGAGGAAGTAATGAAGATTGAGCTGAAATCTGAAGGAGTAGTAGGAAATTAGGTGAAAGGTGGCTGGGAGGATGGAGGATGAGAGGCGGAATGTAATGGGCAGTAAGGACAACATGTACTAAGGTTTTGTGGTAGGGTAGAGAATGACTCATTTGATGAACAAAAAACGGCTGACTGCAAATTATGGAAAGTGATTTTTCAAAGTAAACAACCTTTACTACTGGAATAGAGGGAAATCACTGAAGTGTTTTTAAAAAGCCAAAGAGCCATTTTTCAGATTTATATTGAGCTTGTATCAAATTAAACAAAACACCTGAGTTAGGCCCTTTGGGGGGGGAAGCAGACAGCTACAACATAATTTTTGTTTGTTTTGTCTTGGTTTTGAGCCACACCCACCTGTGCTCAGGGCTTATTCCTGGTTCTATGCTTGGGGTACCGTATGAGGTGCTGGGGATTAAACTGGGTTGACTACATGCAGAGCAAGTGCCTTGCCCGCCGTACTACCTCTCTGCCCCCCACTATTCTTTGCTCACAATTCTGGTGTGCATCTGTGGAAATATAGTGACCCAAACAGATGTCTCTTACTGATTGTTAGGCCTGGTGGGGTGGCCTCTCTTAGTGATGCTCAGGGCTTACTCCTGCTGTGCACTCAGGGATCACTCCTGGCAGTGCTTGGGAGGTCCTCTGCTGTGCCAGGGATGGAACCTGGGTCAGCCTTGTGTTGAGCAAGTACCTTACCCACTCACTGTACTATCTCTCTGACCCCTTTTTCATTTTCTTTGGGGATAGGGGACACGCTCAGCAATGCTCAGGGCTCAGGGCTCACTTGTGGCAGGTGTCTTATCTCTCCAGCCCCTCCTTTTACTCAGTTATGTGTTTCAGAGCTTTTGTTTGTCCGGTTCACTACCTTGGAGCTAAGGGTGAAATGGAGCCCAGGACTCCCACATGCAGAGCTTCTTCTCTAGCTCCTTGAACACTCCCCCCGCCCAGCCCCTTTATTAGGCATGTTTATCCAGTTGTCTCACATTTTAAAAAAATTCTTGCACTTGATTTAAACTGGAATCTGAACAAGGTCCACACATTGCATTTGGTTGATGCATCTCTTAGTTTTTGGGGTGGCCATACCTGGCAGTGGCTGGGGATCAAACCTGCTTGCTAAGTGTGTATTCCAACTCTGAGCCATCTCCCCAACCCCAGTCACTATAGTTCTTCTTCTTCTTCTTTTTTTTTTTTTTTCTGGGCAGTGGTGAAGAGGTTTGTGGGCCACACTTGGCAGTGCCCAGGGGGTATTCCTCGATTTGTGCTCAGAAGTCCCTTCTGGCAATGCTTGGTGGGACCACACGTGGTGCCAGGCATTGAACTGGGGTGAACAGCATGGCAGACAAACACCTTAACTCCCTGTAGTGTTTCTTTGACCCAAGATGATGTGTTTCTTGATTTGTAATCTGGAACGTTTTTTTCCACCTTTGAATTAATTTCTTGGAGAAGTAGCTTATTGAACCTGGAGTGTTTCCTGCTAATGCTTCTGTTTGTTGAGTGCTAGTGAGGCAATGCTGAGATTGCTGGTGTATTCACTTCATTCTCACACCAGTTCTGAACTATAATAGTCTTTTTTCTGATGTAAGAGAAATGAAGATTGAAGTGATGGGAGTAACTCTACCTGAGTCCCATGACTGATCAGTAAAGATGGGATTCACATCCAAAAACCAGGTTCTTATTAATGTTTTTGGCTGCTGTTGGTCTTGAACATATACACACAGGCCTCATACATGCCA